TTTTACGCTTCCAGATTACCAAAACGTTTCTACGTAGAAGCTCGTTTTTTTGACTACATTGGCCTTAACTCTTGTCAACCTGTTAGCCTTGAGACTGTATAGACAAGACTCGTTAGGGTAGGCGAGGAGCTTCCTTCCACTCAAGGGTAGATCTTTGGGGTCGTTTGGTTTTGGTGATAGTTTGGTTGGTATAGTTACAATACATGCATTATCCACAATGCATGGTTTTTTTGAATTTTTTGCACGAAAAATACATGCATTGTTTGCTTGATTTGACACAAACTATCACTCAAAATGAGTGATAGTTAAATCTCTAGTTTTGGTTGAGATTGTTTGGTCGAAATTGTTGGGATTTGTTTTGTTCCAACTATGTCCCTACCTTTTTCTATGTGTGTTGTTTTTTTAATATTAAAAACAAAGGGAAAAGTGACATTTCATCCAAAAAGTAATATAACTTATTTCAATATTTGAATAACTATCACAAAAACCAAACGATGTAAACTACAATACACCAATTTTCTTATGTACATGTATATTATTATGCATGCATTGATAACAATGCATTAATTTAACTATCACCAAAACCAAACGACCCCTTGAGTTTGGATACTGAGTCATATGATAATCTAGATTTATCGGTGCCAAACCAAGGTTGTCAACCCGCGGGTCGACCCTGGTCCGGTGAGAAAAACGGGTTGCACGCACCCGCAGGGTCGACCGCTACAAGGTACCGGGTTGGAGGTCAAATTGTGTCATTTTTTCTTTGGTTTGCGAAATGCGCCTATTTTCAGATTTTCTTTTCACCTAACTCAATCTTTGGAATTCTAAGTTGAACATTTCAATATTAATATTATATAATTGTGTGTGAATTTTCACTATATGTTGGATCTAAGTACGACATGTTATTTTAGTGTAATATGATATGTTATAAGTTATAACTCATATGTTAGATGAGATTTTATATAATTTATCAAAATAAGTATAATCTAATGACTCTTTCTATATTTTCGGGTTAAACAAGACTAAACCGAATGACGTATTAACCCTTAACCCACTAACTTCACTGAGTCCGCGTCAACCCGCGGGTTTTGCCAAACCCAATGATCTTGAATAATATTAGGTACAATACTCCTTATAGCAATATTGATCTCCTCATTGTTGCAAGATTGTTGAAGAAGGTACATATTCCAGTTTTGTTGATCATTCATCACTCATCCAAAGGCGTACAATTAAATCTCATTGGTTATTGCTTAGTTTGAATCCCGGTAAGGACGGAATCCGAGGGTCTTTGACAAGATTAATTGAGTGACCAAACGAGCTCCAAGTTTCAAGATTTTCCTACTAGGGACGGGATAGAATAACAACACTGAATGTGTTGTTACAATAACAACAGGGGTAAAAGGGTCACATTGACCCAAAATTAATAAAATAAAAATTAAATTAATTGACTTTCTCGGCTCATGCGCTCTCTTCCTCTCCAACATAATTGCTCTTAGTCCCAGATCTATATTCCATTCCCCGGCAATCGCCTTGTCTTTCTCTTTCTCTCAACTTTCTACTCCGACCGCGCGATTGCTCTCTGTCTCATCTCGCCGGCAGAAGACCTCTTTAATTGAAAGGGCTGGAATTAGATGTCGTTCACTCTACCGCCGGGTTGCCGGTTCTACCCTTCCGACCACCAGCTCCTCTGCTACTACCTGTCCAAGAAGAACGATGTAGACGGCGGTGACTGTCGAGGGGATGATGGCAATGGATACGATTTGATAAAGGAGCTCGACCTGTATGATTACGAGCCGCTTGACTTGCCGGACGATTCCTGTTATTATTATTTATGTTGCTCCTGAGCTTGTACTTGTTGACGACCATGGCGGACAGCGACGCAGTGGGGGAGAAGAGGCTGCAGTTGACGATCAGGATGTCGATGTCCTTGGGCTTGAGCCCTGTCCGCTCGAAGAGGCTGGTCGACGGCGGAGAAGATGACGAGCTCGGCCTCGCCGCGGGCGGACTCCATGGTGGGCTTCGGTGGGATGTAGTGGATGGCGGGGGGAAGGCAGGTTTCTTCTCCGAGGCCGGAGCGCTCGAGGATCGGCATCTGGGATGTAGTGTATGTCCTTGCTTGTTTGGCTATCCCTTTTTTTGGGCGATTTCGATGGAGATTTCAGAAATGGGAATTAGGGTTTCTGTTCAGAATTGGGAGGGTGAAATTGGGTTCTCAGTAGTCCTTTCTGATTATTGATGCAGGACTGCAGGTGGACCAAAAAATGCGATGTCTTCCCGATGATGACCTCGGTGCCGCCTCTCTCTGTTGTCAGCTTAGCAATTGGGGGAATTAGCTGAGATTCCGGCCTGCCATCAATGAATATCTCGCCGTCCCACCACTCCGCAAACATGCATAGTCATCCGAGAACTTGTGTTGGTGGCGGGTGAAGAAGACGGAGATGGAGGAGTTGCGGCAGAGTTGGATTTTGGAGATGTGGTTTGACGAAATCGGGTTGATCATTGAGGTGAAGGTCGATTACTAGCAGGTCGGAGGTTTTGGGCTCTGAGTTTCGTTTTTGGATCTCGTGAATTTGGTGTAGGAGCCATTGTTACTCTGCTTGCGTGAGAAGAAGAAAGTGTAAGGAATGAGAAGGGAAGGTGAATTAGGAATCTATTATTGTCTAGTGGCAGTGGGTGGATAAACCAATTTCATACAATGATTTGTATTGTTTATATCGGTGTTTATTAATTCTACTCACAAATAATTTTAACACAAAAAACTCTTTAGTGCAAACCACAAACACAATAAAACAACCCACAAAAAACATAGCGTAAACCTCCTAATGCAAATCACAAATTAGCTAAAACCAGAAACCTCCTAATGCATACTACAAATCTCCTAAAACAAACCACAAACCTAACAAAGCAAACCACAACATTTGCGAAAACACACCAGAAACCTTCTAATGCAAACCACAAATTCGCTAAAATATATAAAAAACCCCACAAAGCAAACCATAAACATTTTGCAAAGCACAACAGAAACCCCCTAATACAAACCACAAACACGGTAAAGCAAACCAAAAACTTCCTAATGCAAACCACAAATATATTAAAACAAACCAGAAACCTCGCAAACCAAACCACAAAAGTTTCGAAAGCACACCAGAAACTTCTTAATGCAAACCAAAAACCTCCTAATGCATACCACAAATCTCCTAAAACAAACCACAAATCTCACAAAGCAAACCACAACATTTGCGAAAGCACACCAAAAACCTCCTAATGCAAACCACAAACATAGTAAATCAAACCACAAAAAAGCAAACCATAAACGTCCTAATGCAAACCACAAATATATTAAAACAAACCAGAAACCTCACAATGCAAACCACAAAGTTTTTGAAAACAAACCAGAAACTTCTCAATGCAAACCACAAACACAATAAAACAAACCATAAAAGGCATAAAAAAAATATGAGAAACCAAACCATAAATCTCACAATGCAGACCATAACATTCGGTGGTTGTTGACCGTTGACCGGTCAACGAAGTTCGTTGACCGAACTCCGGTGACCGTCAGTGAGCAGATTCCGACGCCGATAGGCATATTCCGGCCCCGGTGACTAGATTCCGACGCCGGTAAGCATATTCCGACTCCGGTAAGCATATTCCGACTCCGGTAAGCATATTCCGGCGACAAAAAGCATATTCCGGTGACCGGCGACCATTTTCCGACGACCGGTGGCAGAATTCCGACAACCAAATTTTTGGGCAGAAAATAAAAAAATATTTTTTATTTTTTTATTTTTTTTATTTTTTTATTTAAATAGATTTTTCATAATGACAATTATACCCCTGCTTTGATTTTACACTAGGTCAACTCATTTAATAAAAAGTCATCACAATCCTAACTTCCTATTGGTTGGGAACTAGTGTTGTTACAATAACAACACTATGGGTGTTGTTACAATAACCGGTCTCTTCCTACTATAGTGTTGTTACAATAACCGGTCTCTTCCTACTAAGACTACTATAAATATGTTAGAAGGGGTTTCCACTATCAACAGCCACTCGGCCTTGTTTGAGAGGGTGTTCAAAACTGAAATAACTAGTTGTTGATCATTCATCACCTCTTCAAGATTTTACCATAGTTTAAGAGGGTGTTCATACTAAAAATATATTCATTGATGGCGAGCCAAAAATCTAAATGAAGAGAGTAAAGTTGAACTATGATAACTGTGGGAGGGGCTAAGATTTTACCAGCCACTGTATTTTCTAAATTTGTTACGAATTTTAAGTGTAATTTTACTTATATTTCAAATTTGAGCAGGGCTATACCGCCTCATGCCTTTAACCCAGCTTCTCCACTGCATTGATCGAAGCCTTTCCGAACACAATTGTATCATCATTAATTGTTTTATAGCCGTCAAAAAGCCCTTAATTTTGAACCTTGCTTTTCTGATTCGAATTATCTTTGCCAGAAAAAAATATTGTCTTAGCTCGTGTGAAATATCATTATGAAGCTATAATAAAAGTAACTAGAGGTGACAATTAGTATCCAAATCAATAAATTAAGTTCAATCCATCCACTAAAATATACAACCAATCCAATCCATTCCATTCTATCCAAATCGAATTGGATTGGTGGATTCATGAATTAATCCAAGGATCCAAATGACAAATTATAGTTTAGTACCTGTAATTTTTATATTTTACATTTTGAAACCTAAAAATTATTTTCTAGGCAAAAAATATCATTGGAAAATTATTTTTTAGTACCTAGAAATTTTTATTATGAAATTTTAGCACATAATTTTTTCTATATTTACCTGATCCACCAATCCGTTAATCCACCAATCCGTTAATCCAATCTGCCACCTTTTAAAAGTAAAAAAAAAAAATTCGTTAGCTAGCTGGTGAAAAACAAAGTTAAATGACCAATTGCATAATTAACCCATCATTTACTACTCAACAAAACAAACCCCGTTCTGGGTTTTCCGTTACGTGGCGCTCCATCAATGGGCTACATTACTCACTTCACAAATCACAAATATTATACCTTCCATTCCCCGTCCGATTGTCGTCGTCACTCGTCACCGTCGCGTCTCATTGGCTTTTTCTTCGCTTCACCAGGATCGATCTCTCTTCCTGGTTTCGCCTCTCTTCCTGAATCTCCGTAGCTACTAGGATAGCAGCGGCCAGCGGCCAGCGGCGGAAAATGCCTGTAAGTTCTCTCTCTCTCTGCTTTGATCTATAATGCTGGATCCAGATCTCCGATCGCAACCTAGGAGCTCTAGTAGTAGTTCTCAGTTCCTGGTTCATGATTGGCTTTTTCCCCCTTCTCCTCGATCCGCAGCATCTGAGAATCGTGGAGGTGGAGCCGCCGAGTCCGATGAGGTACTTAATCGGCGCGGCGATAATGATGATCGGAGTGGTGTTGCCGGTCGGATACATGATGTTTCGGAACAAGCGCGTCCCTTCCTCTTCTTCTTACTCCAAACAGACGTAGGTGTGCCTTTGCATATGCTGTCATTTTCCTGGTTTCGGTATAACCCAGTTTCGACCTTCAGTTTTTGCCTGCGTTTATCTGGTGGCTTGACTGGAATGCGGATTGCTATGTTTAGTCTTCTTGAGTTGAAACCCTTACTCGGGATTATTTATTGGTAAATTGCTGATTCGTGGTGCTGGCTACTCATTTAGGGGCTGGGGTATTGCTGAGTTAGTAATGGTTAGGGTTCTTGTGCTCTTGGAAATCCAAATTGCAATATCTGGTTGTCTTGATTTGAAACTCCTGCCTGCCATTATTGTGATGTCACCTATTAATGGGGAGAACTGGGACATTCATTATGGTGGTGCCTTGTCATTTGGGTTGCTGCTAAATTAATGGTGGTTATGGCTTTTTGGCTCCTTGGAATCTATATTGCAGTCTTGTCTTCCAATTAGAATGTTTAGTCATCTTGCATAGAAATCTTTGTCAAATTACCAATTAGCAGGATGATGTGGGAATTTTAGAATGGATGGTGGCTTGTCATTCATTTGGGTGAATGCAAATCCGTAGATCAAGTCATTGTTGATGATTAGCGCATTTATATGCTCCTTTCTTTCCTCCGCTAATTCGAATACCAGTCTAGCTTCCTGAGAATGATTTGATCGAGCAAAAGCAATGCAGCTGTGAGTTTCAGTTGTTGTGTGATGACGTAGGCCAATCGTCTGGATCTGCCCTTGTGCTAGTTAGCTCGTTCTTTAATCAGTCAAATTTTTGGGGCCATGTTGTGCTTGTTAGCAGTGTTATTAAATGAGCAAATATTAGATTTCTGAATCAGACAGATACTTGTAGAAACCATTACATTCATTTCCTTAATCAACCAGTTAAAATGGAGCTGTGGGTTGAGCTAACATGAAAGGGTTTTCTTATGTGAACAGGAACAAAGTCTTGATATAAAGAGATACAGGGAAGGATGATCAGCTTTTTTATCTTATTATATGTGAAGTGATGATGCAAGTGGCTCAATTTTGAAGGAGAATTATAGATAGGTAAGGGTTTTCGACAGAGATGTCAAGTGGATATGACGAAAGATGTAAATGTGTTGATAGTTGAAAGTTACTCGCATTCTTCCATTACTACTGCTCTCAGAAGTTAGGGATTCTAATCAATTGTGTGATTTTGATTCCCATATTGAATGAATTTGATGGTTAGAAATTGGCAAATTGAAGCCACTTTAGAGATTTGATCAGGTCCAATTGTTGTTGCACTGTTGTGGACTTAAGCTTGTAGCAGTTGTTCAAAAACCATTCTGTAATTCGCACAGGTGATCCTTAAAACGCTCTGAACAGGCTTAGAACCTGATAATATCACTAATCTAGAACTCGGAGGTCGCAGATTCAAATCCTTCAAGTAGTACCTTAATCACAAAAATAAAAAAACTTATATCACCCTTATCCAAAAAAAAAAAACGCTCTGAACAGGCGAAATTGCTTGGCAAAGTAACTTCACTCCTGTAGTTTTTGGGAAAACCAGTGAAACCTATCTCGAGCTACATTGCACCACAACTGTTCTACTAGTTTAATTGTCTCTTTGATCAATTTTCACTCCTTTACCCTAAAACCTTGAATGATTAGGCTCGATACATTTTCACACAAGCAGTAGATCTTCAGCACGATTTTACTAACCCTTCCGGGGATCAAAATTCCCATATGGCAATGTCTCACACAAGGTGTAGATCATGACTCGGGAGTAACCCAGTAAATTCCAGCGACTGTTCCCTAAAATTACAACGAACTTTCACAAGTAAACTTTGCCAAAGTTGACAACATGGAGGTTGTACAGCAGTGAATCTCAGTGGAAGTATGAAACACTCGGATGTCTGCTTTGCTTAGCTGAACCATACAACTTCAGCAAATGAGCAAATGCTTCTGTAATCTATACATCATGGAATGTGCCAAGTGCTTCTCCAACTCGAACTCGATCACCACGTTTGATGTTGAACCTGAATTCTGAAGATGGGCTTCCATCTTTGGCTGGTTTCGACATAGGAGCTTGAAAGACAAGCACGACTGTTGAACCCATGTTGAAAGCAGCTATCTGCGAAGAAAGATTTGAAGGCCAAACTTCATTTGCGAGACCGTCTTTCTTTCCTTCACATTGCTCGTGGAAACATATTCATATGAACCATTGTTTTCTGGAAACAAATTAGCATATCTGAATATATAACTAACCTCATCTCCTTTCTTGACTAGTCTTCCGATGCCTTCAGGTTCGTAAACCCGTTCTTCTGGAGGATCAGAAGTAGATGGCAGCTTTCTTGGCAGGTTTGTTCTAAGCTCTGGCTCAATGAGAAGCTGTCATGTACACCATTATAACCAAGAAAATAATGTTAGTTATGAAAGACCCTTCCAATACATTCTTCAGTTATGTCCCTTGCACGAAGGAGTCACTCCTTGGCCATACTTTACATAGTAACTAGCAAGGAGCACCATGCAAACAAATTGACTTACCTCAATCGATCCAATATTGGTAGCACCAACTGCAGCCATGGCCATGAATCCCTGATTCCATAGACCTTCAACTACTACCTGCGTGATGGAAGTTCAGTGACTCAATGAGATGATATCCAAGGTGGATGATAACATGTTCCAAACCAATTATCCATAAATATAAAACCAACAAGCTAACAAGATTGCACCATTGTCTTGATGGTTGACTTCCTGTCTGACTGATTATATGAACTTCCAAACTTACAGAGCGGAAGCTTTCAGATTTAGCACAAAAGATCAGACACAAACTAGCTCTGATGACCAGATGTGACACTACTTATTGCACTTAAAATAAAGCACATTGAGTTGGTTGATTGGTTTAGTGATGCTTACCCTTTCATTCTCAACATACAGATTTCTGACTGTTCTTGCTGCACGTTCATTCACTGGATAAAGGCGTCCTGAGAGATTATTAAGTAGTAGTTTAATATTCAGGGCATACAGCATCATACTTGACGAGTTTAAGGAAATCCAGAGATAAACTATACACTAATCATAAGCCATGGATAAACAGTGCTCAATCTTTTCTACTTCCTATACCGAGGTTAAAGTAAGATTAAATGTCATGTTCAATGATCTTTTTAAGCATTCAAGATCATGTTCTACCATACATTGTAACAGTTTAATGCTAGGTTAAGCATTCAGATATATCATCACAGATTATAAGCTTCATGCACACTCTCATGAAGAGATCAGCAGATCAGTAACTTGTTCAAGCAACTTGGAAACTTAGAAATGGATATAATGGATAATGCTCTCGAGTTCAATGCATCACAATATACGAACGATATATTGATATGTTGCAATAAACCACCTGAAAAGTGACGGCGAACGAGAATATTCCAATCAACTGGTGAGTGTATGCGGTGATAGTCTCCAGGTCTCAAGTAAATTACACAGTAGTGAAGTCCTTTCCCTGGACTGCAATGAATAACATGAATCAATGATCTACTCCCTCGGAGGCCATTGCAAAGGAATTATTGAATCACTTAACATATACTTCTGTCATTCTAGTGTAGGGCAACAAGAACAGTTGACTTACCTTGTTGCCCTCACTGTGTCCCTGGCTTTAGGATAAGACAATGAAATTCTCCATTGTGCGTTTTGGCTGTTCTCTTTATGGTCACTTCGGTCTTCGCTAGTTTCCTCAGGCACATCCCTTTCAGCTACCATAGGAAGGAAGGAGCTAGCTCCGAGTAGGGAAGAAGCAGAATACGAAAACCCTTTGACTTGTTCAATCATAGCCCCTCGTCCTTTCAATTCCCCAAATCTTAGAATTGTACCATCTACGGGACTGGCCTGAGATTGCAAAAATGCAAAATGAGATGCTCTACAGACTACTCACTGCTTGGCACTATCTCCAAAAACAGCAGTATGGATGTGAAACATCAGCAAGAAGCTTGTTACCAGTTACCAGACTATGTGGGTCAGGGTCAATAGGCCTGGACCCTTCTTTCAATGTGCGGACAAAGAATTCACGTAAAGAAGAATATTCTTCGAGAGGGAGAGACATTTCTTGCAAGTCTGCACTTAGACAAGAAGGGGGCATTTTCTTTTCAGCCAACCTTAAGTGACAGTTGCACAATCATAAACAAGAGTGCTGGGAAAAGAGCAGTGTAGAACTAAACAAATCAACACCAAAGATATCAAATCCAGAAACCATACTTGAATGAAATGCTCTTGCCCAAGCTTTATAGACATATGGGCGCAGCCAGATAGGGAGTTCCTGAAAGTACATGTTTTTTAATAACTTCACATCCAAAAGCTTAAGAATCAACAGGCATCCTAAAAATAAAGGAATCCTCACCACACTTGTTAAAGAACCCCAAACTCTGGAAATGGAGCGTAAGGGTAGCATCCTCAAAAATGAAGCCTAGAGTACAAAAGGTCAATGAGGGTTAAGTAAAATGCATAACATGAACCTCATTTAGAACTCGCAATTTGATAATGATGGATCTAATAATTCTTCTAGCAAAACAGTACTTACTTTTGCATCAGGTTGGAATTCAATTTCAACCCCTTTCTCTCGTGCCTCTTCCAACTACCCCATAAGAACAAGGAACCACAAACCATGAATCAACACAACATAAAAACAGAATTAGCCAAGAATTGATCATTACCAAGACCATGAATGCATACAGGAACCCACTTGATGAAAAGATCAAAGACATGCATGACATAAGACTAAAGAATCACAAGGAAAGCTTAGAGAATGGGTTAGCGATAGGTGACACAAATACACACCTTTTTGTCATCATACATCCGACGAGCATGCAGCGCACCAAGCATAAGTAAGGTAGCTGCAGTTGCACCAGGTACCAGGAAAGTATTGCCTGCAAAGACATTGAACAATCAACTAAAACTGCATTCTACAAGCTAAAAATACAAAAATGGTCCCAGAAACATCAACTTTAAATCATCACACACTGTAGTTGCCAACAACGATACTCCCCCTTACCACAACTTGAAGTAGCTTTAATCACTCAGCTCATTGGACACACAATCAGCCAGTATATACAGCATATGTTACCAAAATTCAAACCAAGATTACTATACATCTCAAATACATGAAATCCATGCAGCCTTTCAGCAAGTATGCTCGAAAAGTCAAAATGTGAATTTGCTCTACTGTGATACTGTAACCTAAAAGCACCACGAAGACATCAAGCAGCCAAAATCCAAGTAAAAAGTAGAGTATGGCTTCTTCAGCACCAACAACAATGAGCTATAACTGAAATGAGGAACCAATCCATCTGAGTTTCCTATGAAAATTCTCAAGAAGTTCAAACGAGAAATTAAGTGCGTCCAGTAACTTGAAATTCCGAAAACGAGAGAAGCTAGGCTAAAATCTATTTGTACTGGAGAGCTGACCTTTAGAGTTGCCACCGTCGGCATTGCTAAAAGCGGCACGAGTCGGCGACGTCGAATGAAATTTCTTGTGGAAAGAAATGAAGAAATGGCGGTGATGAAGACGGCGATAGTTGAACTGATGAGAGTTGAGGAAAACGGGGAGCCTGTGCGTAGATCGGAACTTCATGGTTTCGTGGATGAGGGAGGGAACTGGTTTGTCTCCTCTGGTGGTTTAGGGTTTTAAATGAAAAGTTTTTATTTTCTCTAAAACCTATAGTTCCTTAAAAAAAACATTTTATTCTCATTAGGAAGTTTGTAAATACTCCATTTAATCCACATATATATGGAAGTACGTATTTTATACATTTAAATTTTTTGTTTCCGTATTATGCCAAATCATTTTATTAATTTATGTTCATTTGAATATTTGACCATTCAAGTTCAATTTGTAACTCGAAACATCAACACTTCATGCTATTTTATACATTTAAAGAACACTATGCATATGCATTGTTGAAAAATATGACTGTGAGTGGACTAAACAATAATTTCCAAACATGTCATGCTATTTTAAATATATTTATTTCGTTAAAACCCCTATTCTAAAGTGACCTAGATGCTACTTGTTTTTTCCTTAATTCGGCAAAATCAGCAATGTAATAGTTCAAGGTTTGTCTTCAACGAACTTATTATCATTTGGTCGATTGACAAATTAGATAACAAATCAAAATCTAAACAACTTAACCATTAAATATCCTACGAAAATGGCAGAATTACTGGGTATCTATAGCTTAGTTTGGCCCTGCTGTAGCTTTTGCAGAAGCAGCTTCTGGCTGGAGCTTTTAGATAAGTACTTTTCAAAAAAAGCAGTTTAGTGTTTGGCTGTAAAACTATTAGAAGTGCTTTTTAATATGAGCGGTTGTGTAAAATGACTATAAAGGACTTATAATATAAAATATAAATAAAAATTCGAAACAATAAAAAGTAGTCAAAATGGATCTTGTTAGATTTCTTTTATATTAAATAATATGATTTTATAATTTATTTTATTTTTAAAATGATATAAATGAAGGAAAATTATATTTTCTGAAATAAAATTAAAATATGGTAAGGATAATCTTGTATTTTCAAAACAGCTTTTCGCAGAAGCTCCAAATCGGAGCTTCTGCTTTTATGTTATACAAAAGCGCTTTTCGGCTTTTCAAAAGCCGAGCTTTTAGAGGTGTTTGGCCCTGCTTAAGCTTTTGAAGCCGAAAAGCACTTCTAAAAGCCGGGCCAAACATAGGCTATATAGCTGTAACCCCAAATATAGGCAGTAGCATTTGTATGAAGTAGTGAAATTGCAACAAAAACCAAGCTTAGTGGCTATTTTGTTCCTCTTCTTCTCCACTAACTTATTGCACTTCTTCGTCGACCTCTTAGGTTGTGGATGCAGCCAAGAAGAGACCAGACATGCTAGTCCAAGTCGGATGAGAGTACCGATACATGCCTCCAGTCGCGAAGCTGATCCAGATCGTCAAAGGTGGATCTCTATGATATGAGAAAATGGTGTCAATAAAGGACGACAGGCTTCCATTTCTGGTCAAGGTGAAAGATAATGAAACTGAAAGCTAGTTAATGGTTCGTTTTTCCAAGTATTGCTGTGTTTTGCTGAAGTTGATTTGTTCTTCTTCCTCTTGATGCTTGTTACTAGGTTCATAACTGGAACAGGTGTAATGCCAACACAGGGGGAACTCTGGTGGAGAAATGCTGCCACTTCTTTGATCTCATGAGGCTGTTTGCTGGAGCGAATCCTGTTCGGGTCATGGCTTCTGGCGGTATTGATGTTAACTACAAGGATGAAATCTATGACAGGAAGGTATAGTTTCAGCTGCTACATACATTTCGGGTCTTCCCTGTTATCTCCAGCCAAATTGAGTATTCGAAGCTGTCTTCAATAAAACCGACTACTTTAGAACAGAACGATTAGATCTGTAGCATGAGGTTTGCATTTCTTGTGTGTCAAGCAACAAAGGAGAAGTTTGTGGACACTAACTTTCCATTCACAAGTTTCTATGATGGGATCATGGGAAGGTCAACATTCAGCAGGTCACATTTGGGTCTTCCAAAGTTATTTCCAGCCAGATTGAGCATTTGAACCTCTGTTCAATAGAAATGAAAGCTTTAGAGCAAAATGAACACATTTGTAACATGAGCTCTGCATTTCTTGCGTCTGAAGCAACTATGGATTAGTTTCTGAACAGTTACCATCTGTCTACAAGTTTGCCATCGGTTCAGGTACCTGATGTTAACGACAATGCATATGTGATCACCGAGTTTGATAACGGCTCAAGAGGGATGCTTGACCTTTGCATGTTTGCTGAAGGGAATAAGAATGAGCAGGAAATATCAGTTGTTGCCTTGTTGGTGTTGGGAAGGTTCTCGTGTTCTCTTCTGCCACCAGACCCCGTTACATTGCATGCAACTTTTCAAGCCTCTTTCTCACCTGGTTCTGTTCTGATCATCTTATTGCAACAGGGGGAGGCTTTCGTGCCGGAAAACGTCGTGCGGTTTGGTTCTCGAGTTGCTGGTAGAGATGGCGTAAAGACCCTGATAGCTGAGGATGAAAGAATAAAGTGAGCCATTGGAACTGGTTTTCCACAGCAATGAAACTCCACCAGGAAATTTCAGGACACACATGAACAATTTGCAATGCAAACACTGAAATTGCATCATGGATCAAGCTACTTGGAACACCTTTACTTTCTGGCTTCAGTAAGAGCTGAAGGTGAGAAAGTTCCTGCCGTGGATCTGCAAGATGGACTGATATCAGTAGCTATTGGAGTTGCAGCACAACTTTCAATCGAGGAGGATCAATTTGTTCAATGAAGTCATGGATGAAAGTTTCTGCAGAACATAATCTTGAAAATTAGGACTTCACCTGTTGAAAAAGGACTTCACACATTCTATTACCAAGCCTTTATAGGCAGAACACCTGGTGTATGTATGGATCATAGAATGTTGGGGATATCTAATTGGTTTGCCTTCTGTTTAGTCGTCCCAACTTCAATCTTAAGAGCATAAAACCTCTTACAAATGAAATCATGCTCACTTGAATCTTTCTGCCATCATGCCTTCGATATCAACTGCAAGGAAACATTACAACTCATTCATTATATAATATTAAAAATAGATTGGTATAGCTCGACAGGTAGAGTGAAGGAGATGTTAGTAGAACCTTCAGTATCCAAGGAAAGTTGTTCCACTCATTTTCATCCCACAAAGACTGCCCATCTTCGTTAATGTAGTAGCCATCAATAGTGATGTTTGGAACATGAGTGATTTCATGCCAATCCGAAGTCTTCTCTAGTCCTGAACAATCCTCGATCTCAATCTTCTGCAAAGAAATTAAGTGCTGCATCCCCTGCAGCCACCTTCTCGGAGGATTATGAATTTGCTTGATATGCAACTTCTTCAGTTTAGACAAAGCCGGGAACTGGGAACCATAACTAGTCGAGGAGGAGCTAGACATGTTCATTAGCATTGTCTGCAATAAAGGTTCCAGGCTGGTGTTCACCAACATCAACTTCTTATCAAGTGTTGGGAACAATGGCACTGAGGTAAGCAGAGGGCATTGCAGTATGCACAGTGTAGAAAGGTTGGGAAATTGGGTTGTTACTGGCTTCCTTTTCCATCCCTTTAGTTTGGGGCAAACACTCACATAGAGTTCCTCCAGGGAAGGGAAGAATAATGGTCTTATTTGTCCATTATCTTCATCTTCGTCTATGTACTCCAACATGATCAATTTCCTAAAGACGATCCTTTTAAGCATTGGCAATCCTTCCAAATGGTGCAAACCATAACGCACTTTGCAACAAGCCAGCTGAAGAGCAACCAAGTTAGTTAGAGATGAAATCCAACTAGGAGATCTCTCGCCTGTGTACCCACGCACTGACAAGAGTCTCAGGTTCAAGTGAGGTTGAAGGCTTTCTATTAAACTTTCATCCCATTGACCGACATCTTGGGATGTTGATCTCTCTAGGTGTTCGTCCAGTTCTTCTTTTTCTTTGTCATAGTCACCACCGGTCCACTCCAAGACCAGCTGCTCAAGATGGTGCTTCTGTTTCAAGTTTGCTTTTACACCAATCTCATATGCAATCGATGGTGGTGGTGGTACTGGTGATGAAAGTATCACTGAGCGAAGAAGGCTTTTCAGGTTTACAATTTGGAGAAAGCCTCTCAAGTTCGATAGCCTGGCTAGCTCGTTCAGCTCACCCATATGCTTCTCTTTGCCCACCACGAAAAGGGTCATTGTTTGGAGAGCAGTCAGTTCCCCCAACTGGGGTGGCATGTGAGTTAGAGCAAAACAATTTTGGCAATCAAGGCACCATAGATTCACAAGCTTGTTGATATTTCTTGGCAGCTCCAGCAGGTTTTTGCACTCGTTGAGTAAGAGCACTTCCAAGTTGTGAAGCATCGTGATAGAGTTTGGTAGCTTGGTAATCTTGTCATTGTACGAGAGGTCGAGATGCCTAAGATGTTTTAGTTTCTGAATGTCTTGGGGCACCATCTCCATCCCACAATTTGGGAACTCGAGAATGCGTAGGCTTCCAAATTTGGACACGAAAGATTTGAAAGTTGACTCATCCCAACTTGTGCCTGACTCATACCACGGGTTACAATACACAGAAAATGTCCGCAGTCGTGTGGCACTCCCAAGTAGACCTACCATCTCCGAAGGGCACCAAGAACTATGTGACAAGGAGACATGGTAAGTCTTTTCATTGACTCCATCCATAGGGCCAGTTATTAGCTTGCAGTTAGACCCAGCTACTGAGACTGCAAGATCGTGGATTAGATCGTGCATTTTACAGGTAGATATGGGGATCGAAGGGCCTGGTCTGATTTCTTGGAAGAAAGACCTCCATGCGAGGTCCATAAACCACTCCAGACCTGTATCAAGTAAACTTTGTTTGGAATCAATAGTAGGTGATGATGACTTGATAAGCCCCAGAGAAATCCAAAGCTGGATCAACGATCCGACAATTATAGTGTGGTCCTTAGGTAATAAGCTACAAATTGCAAAACAATGCTTCAAATGTGATGGAAGATAGTCGTAGCTCTGCTTCAGGTTGTGTAGCATGCTATTCTTATGTCCCGCATCTAAGAGTTTATTCGACCTAAGATAAGGCAACCACTCAGTTCGACGATCTTTAAAATACAGCAAGGTTCCTATTGTTCTTACGGCTAAAGGAACCCCTGCAGACTTTTTAATGATCTCCTGTTTAATCTCTTCCACGTTAAAATCCGCAACGCTAATCGTTGATTCCTTCTCCTCTTGATCAAACACGACTTGCCTAAACAGTGACCAAGATTGATGGGGTGATAGACCACTCAGAGCATAAGGTGGAGCACTAGAGCTGCGACTCATCATTTTTGCAAAATTTTGGAACCTCGTAGTGACCAAGATCTTGCTTCCACTAGCGCCACACTTGAGCACAGATCTGATCACTTGCCATTTCTGTGGATCGAAGTTCCACATATCGTCCAGTACAAGAAGATACTTTTTCCCTTCAATATGCCCCACCAAGTGATCTTTCAACGTATTGAGTTCCAGATCATCTTGTTTTTCCCCAGTGATGGACTCTAGAATCTTTTGAACAATTGACTTGACCTCAAAAGACTCTGAGACACAGACCCACAACCTCAACTTAAACTCCTCCCTCACTTCCTTATCATTGAAAATGAGCTGAGCAAGCATTGTCTTCCCCATCCCACCAATTCCATGTATGGAAACAACATTCCCACTACCATCATTATCACCAGACAGAAGAAGCTTCTTAATGTGTCTCACATCATCTTCTCTACCAACAACTATGTCGGGTATGGACGAAATAGTGTGGCTATGCTTCCTCATTTTCCATGTCTCGTCAAAACGAGGACTCAGATGCAATTTGGCGTTATCGTTGCATATGACATCCAATTGCTCTCTCAGAGCCTTAACCTTGTGAGCCATTCTAAGACCATAAATCAAACGGTTTGGAAGGGAGTAAAGGAAGCATACCACGGTCCAGCAGCGAATTCTGCAGTCATCTGAATTACCACCAAGCCGACCCCTTTCGACCTCTACGGCGAAATCATCAAGTAGGTCCTCAGCATCATACAGCACTACAGTCAGCTTCTCGAGCCAGTCTCTGACTTGATGACTGTGTTCCTGCTGCTCCTCTGCATCTAGCAGAACTGCCTGAATGGCAGTCACTGTACCCTTCAGCTTCTCTAGCTCGGATCCCAGGCTCCAGGCAAGTGCTAACTCCTGTTGAAGCAGTGGTAACAATTTCTCGAGGACAGATTTGGCTATGCTGAACAGAGAACCTGAAGCTGCCATTTCTCTTTTCTTTCTTCCTCCCCCTTCTTGGCGTTTTAACTTTTAGGAAGGTGTGGAAGAGGTGCCCATATGCTATTGCCCCTTTATTTATAGGATTGAAATCGGATTCGATTAAGTCAGACATGAGTTAATTTAATAAACATGACATTCATAACAAAAATATAAATAAAAACGATAGACACAAATCTACAGGCTAGCGTGCTATTATATTACTCTAGTGAGACGTGATTTCCAGTTGTTGACTTCCACATGGCTGTCTCGAGATTCATGTGTGAAATCAAAATCTGAGTTGGGCAGCATCTTGGGATAAAAGAAACCCAATTTTCAGGAGATAGGAAAATAGAAAATCTCTCCTGCCAACTATCTGCCAGTTACTTGCAAGTATAATTTTTTAATTAATCACCAATACCATAGCAAGATATTTAATATTACCACTTCTTGCCGAAAGCCGAAACCGCATTTTTTTAATAATGCAAGTTGGACATTCAAATTCTAGAAGTACTCAGAATCTGTTGTATAAGCAAAAATCAAACAAAAGCGCACAAATTCGAAGTCTCGAAACTATCTAAAACAACAAAATGTAAGATCTTTCATCAATTACCTCAAATGCATTTGAAATGACGCTGAATTTCTTGTGTGTGAAGTAGAACTGAGGTGTACTTTCTGAATAGCGAGTGAGAAGTATCTGACCTTTCCATTCTGCAATTTGGTACATGATGGGTTGGTGCTAGAGATAATGTTTTACGATTTGAGGAAATTATATTGAACAGTGAATGAAACTCTACAAGCTAGGAGATGTCAAGAATACCTTTTACATTTGTCTTATTAAAAGCTGAATAGACTTGCTTGGCAGATCAAGGTCCTTGAAAAACCTTAACTTTCTGGCTGCAAAATGAGCTAAAGGGGAAAAGCTCCCGCTGGGTGGATTTGCAGGATGGATGGATATCATCAGTAGCTAGTGGGGTCACAGCACAACATTCCATGAGGAGGCCAATTTGTTAGAATTGATGAAGTCATGGATTAAAGTTTCTGTAGAACATACACAAGAGTTTGCCCTCTCCTCCTCGTTAAATGTTTGTTTACAGATCTTGTAATTTCCATATAAAAGATCGACACTGGTTCAAGAAACTACCTGTGTCTTCTTCATGCTTCAAACCACTTCTCTGCTTCTGCATTCCATTGCCCATTCATGCAGCTTTAATGCACTTGTCGAATCTAGTTGCTGGGGAAGCATGAAATCTGATAGTTCTGGCAAATATACCAAGAGTAGAATTTTATAGTCAGCAAGGTCTTAGACTGGAATAGCATGAATTGTCATTAATGAGCAATGATGTAGTCCTACATAAGTAGCAATGCTTATCTTAAGAAAATGATCTGAAGTATAATCACCCCATGAAAGAAACTGCTTTAGTCCTCGAAATACTACAACAGTCTTCAAAGGTGAAAAGAAACAAATATCCAGCAGCCCTACCAGTAGTCTCCACAACTATATGACACATCTCTGAACAAATGAAATCGGTTAGCATTTCTCATCAACAGTTCTCTCTTCATAATCATTGACGTGTACTTAGTTCAAGTGTGACAATCCCTACAAACACGAAGGTTCTTCATCACCTGTAAGTGGATCCCTGGATCCGTCTTCAATAGCCTAAAAGCTATGGCAAACCTCTCACAATGCCCACAAAGCCAGTCTTCTCTTTTCATTCTCCTCAATGTCATGCAAGCATATTGCACATTAGCAGCATACCTTTCTTTCGACATCAAACTACCAAGTTCCTCTAATAAGTTGCTAATCTCTTGGTAATGTTCAGAGTACTTATCAGCAGATCCAAATGCAAAAACCTTGTTTCTGGTATCATTCCAACTATGGCCCAGCTCATTTTTCAGTCCTTGGGCTTCTTTGGATTTTCGTATAACTTTTACCTGACCCCGCTTACCAAAACCAGCAACAACATTGGATGCTAGAACATAATAGCCAGGATCATCCAATTCTAATTCCATAATATGCTGTGACAAACGTTCCGCAATCTTTGTTTCTCCACATGCTCTGCAGGCACCGAGTAAAGCTCCCCATATGCTTGCGTCTGGCTTCACTGGCATAGAACTGATGAAGAGTTCGGCTCTAGATGACTTCCCAGATCGAGACAGAAGATCAACGACACAAGCATAATGTTCAATTCTTGGCTCAATGTCATAATCCTTCTCTATCTGGTAAAAACAAGCGAGACCCTCATTTACCAAACCTGAATGGCTACATGCATAGAGGATGGCTACAAATGATCAGGAGCTACATGATCTTTTTTCATTTCCGTGAAAAATCTCAGTGCTTTCTTTCCTTCACCGTGCATCCCACATGCTGAGATCAAACGAAATCCAGGTGACAACATCCTTTGCTTTCATGTGCTGAAAAACTTTAACTGCATAACTTAGATTACCATTTACCACACTTGGAGTACATTTCAACCAGTGTGTTCCCAATTGAAACGTTTGATTTAAAGCCTAACTTCATACTGAAGCACGAATTTCTTTGCCTTGCCGTTTGGCAGCTAGCAAGGAACATACGGCAATACAACTTACATTGTCGTTGTATCTGGCATTATATTGTCACTCACCATCTGGTTTATCATCCGGAATGCTAAGATAGAGTCTTCTCCTTGCCCACGTGCTACAATGATGGTGTTCCATGACACCACATTCCGATTTCTCGTGCTCCTGAAAAGCGCGAGCGAATCATCCGTTCTCCAACACTTCGCATAGATATCAAGCAATGCATTCTCAACAACCAGATCCGAGTCAAAACCTAATTTAGCCACAGCACAGTGGACTTGCTTCCCAAGGTCCAAATCAGCTGCTTTAGCAAACATTGACAAGATCATTATACAAGTAACAGAAGCAGGCTTAAGTTCCTTCTTCATCATTTTGAAGACTTTCATCCCTTCACCATAACTGATATTCTGAATGTAAGCACTAATCATAGAGTTCCACGAAATGGAATCCCTGCATCACAATGCATTGAATACTCCCCTTGACGCCGAAGTATCACCACAGTTTGCATAGGTATCATTAAGTACGTTAGTAGCAGTGACATCACATTCAATACCATTATCCTTCATATAATTATGAACGAATTTTGCTAGTCCCAAGTCCTTTAATTGACCACAGGGACCGAGAACGCTAGTGATTGTCAACAAATCCGGTCTGAACATATGAAACATCTCCATGAAGAACTTGATCGACCCTACAAACAACTGCATTTCAGAATATCCACAAATCAAGATGTTCCAACTAACAGTATCCGTTGTGACCATTTCATCAAAGATCCTTTGCGTAACCACTAATTGATCAAACTTAACATACATAGAAAGATATCCATTGTTCACTATAACGCCAGCGTTCATCCCCATCTTCTCAACCAACCCATGGACCACCTCACCGTCAATGTCAAGCAAGCCACCACAGGCAGGCAGAACACTTGATACAGTAAAAGTATCTGGTTTCAACCAACCATTATGAACTCGCGAAAATCTCCAAAGCCTCCTCCCAGTGCCCATTTCTAGTATACCCAGAAACGAAGCTATTCCACGACACAAGATCTCTGCGAGGCATTTCCTCGAACACATTCCGGGCCTTGGCCAAATCACCAAACCTAGCATATATATATCCATTCAGATCCAAAAATCATCTCCACTGCCCGATCATGCACAACCCTAACCCGTTTCAGAATCCAATAACGCTGCAGAAGCATTGATAACCGACGGGAAAGTATAAGAATCAGGCCTGACCTCAAGCTCTTGCATGCGGGAGTAAAGCTCCAGAGCTTCAGAGGATAATCCATTCTGTGTAAGCGCTCTGATAACTGAATTCCACATACGCACTGGTAGCCGGAGTGGTTACTCGGAAAACATGGAAAGAAGAGATCGAGTCCTTCAGCTGCCCATACTTGCTCGTCAGTTTTTTCCAGAAAAAATAAACACAGACTTCTCAAGGCCTAATGTAACCAAGCGCGAATGGATTTACCGTAGCTGTTTCTGGCTTGCTGCGGAGTGCGGAGGACAGTGCTTTAGCTATTGCCTGCCCACATACACAAGTTCTCCAAAGCGCTCTCGCTCGCAGCTTCCTCATCCTTTTTTCAAAACTCAAAAGGATTTTTTTGTTACTTTTGCCTCGTCACCGCGCTAAATTTTGAAAATATGAGCGCAGTTTAGCAGCAATACGCACCATGCGTAAAGTAGTGCTGGTCGTTCTGTACTATAAAACGGAACGAGTTGGCGCCCAAATTCTGAGTTTCTCACTTTCTCTTTTCCCTGGTGAAATTGTTCCCCTTCTGTAAAGCGTCGGAGAGAAATGGAAGACGACGGAGAGAGATCCAGCATCGTGATCAGCCTCATCGAGAACAGAGCCAAAGAGGTACTCAACTTCCTGTTTGGTTGCTGCGAAAACTCTGGAAATTAGAAGAAAAACACTGGCCAACTGGTTCATTTTCAATTCCTCTCTTCTTCAACGATGGAAATTACTACTTATTCTGCGAAATCGCATCTCGATCTCCATTTGTGAAGCTCAGTTCCGCTAACTTTGGGCGATGTTAGAACGCTCTCTTGCTTGCCGACCGCCATGGAAAATTTCTGCAGTCGGATACTACTAACACTGTGCTAATTGAAATTAGCAGTCGTGATTCTTCCACAATTTCAAAAACTAGGACGTCCTGAAGGAAGAAATCTGCGTTGATCCTGCGAACTGCTTGTTGCTTTGGATGATTACGTTAATGTGAAAGCTACATCGTCGAATTTGAAATTTGCGGTAGTTTGTCCTAAAAGTTGTGGTGACAACCGTACGTCGCTTGTCTAATTGAGACGTGATGACGATGGACTTGCAGGTTGGAATGGCTGCATTTAATTTGAGATCAGCTTCTCTGGATCTTTCGCAGTACATTGAAACCAGTGGCTCGTATCAGAACACCCAAACTCTGCTGCAATTTTACGATCCGATGGTGATAATTGTACCTCCCAACAAACTGGCAGCTGATGGGATGGGTGGAGTTTCAGAATTGGCTGACAAGTTCTGTGGACATATCAGGAAGGTGAGCTGCGAGATCTTAATGCATGCATTATCTTTGTGGAGCTGTGGATTTCAACAGTTAAATCTTTCCTTCGTTGTTTTTTTTTTTTTCTGTTTTAGGTTGTAATGGCCCGTGGATGTTTTGATGACACCAAGGTCAGGATTGCTTTCTTAGTTCTTTTATGGTGTGATTTTATACAGATGCAGGTTACTAACAGTTGGTCTTTATTGTTTCCGGTTCCAGGGTGCCGTCTTAGTGAAAAGTTTAGCAGCAAAGGAGCCGTCAGCCCTCAGTCTAGAGACTTACTACAAACAATATTATCTTTGTTTGGCTGCCGCTGCTGCTACAATCAAGTGGTATTTTAAGTGGTTTCTGCTCTGAACTGTCATTGATGTTTATGTTTCACATTTCAAGTCTGGGACATTGATTTTTTGGGAATCATCACCTGTTTGTTTATGGATTCTGAACATTCCCATTTGCCTGACATCGTACATTTAGCCATTGACCGTAAGTTTATTGATTTAACACTCTATCTAAGATGAGTTTTTTACTGGGTCGTCCGCAGGATAGAAGCTGAGAAAGGACTTATCGTGACAAATCACTCCTTGTCGGTATGTTCATCAAGAGATAGGTTCCCCCTACAGTTAGCCTTGAGACAAGGATGCCATTTTTCCATCAGCTGCAACTCTGGATCCCTCAGCAATGCAACTGAGTCTTTTTTATCTAGTTTAAAATCTTTTTTTCAGTTTAGGCATCTTGACATTGATACTCATCAATATGATTATCAGAGCGAGCTTATATGATATGATTCACTTATATTGGCCATTCTTATCTGTGCGAAGTTGACTTGGAAAAAGCTACAGCTACTCATTAAATCCTGTAGAGGCATCTGCCTCTGTGGTCATGACATCATTCCTTACAGGCAAAATGGAGACTGATTCCCTCATAAATTCTGCTGCTCTCCAGGTTACCTTTAACGGATCATTTGATCACATGAGCATAGATGCAACTAGGTAATCTGTTCTTTATTTGGATTTTGTCTGAGTTTCAGTGTGATATATTCTTATGTTTTACAATCTCAAATGCAAAATTATCATAATAATATTCTTCTCTAGAACTTTGTTTGATTTACAAATGGGATCTCTTGCAGTGTTCACAACTTGGAAATAATTGAGCCATTTCACTCTTCACTTTTGGGCACAACCAGCAAAAAAAGAAGTCTTTTCCAAATGCTCAAGACAACAAAGACCATAGGAGGGTATGAGGGTTATCCTATATTGAATCTTTCATCCCACAGCACAATTGAAGCTTACTCATACACAGTAATTAGAACCTTAAGTGTCCTATCAACTTGTAGATATGTAAATTCTTCAAGTTAGTGCTCGATCATATCTACCATGTGCGTATAAAGCTTACTTATGTAATTTATCTTCAGAACCAGGCTCCTTCGTGCCAATCTGTTGCAGCCCTTAAAAGACACCGAAACTATCAACACTCGCCTCGATTGCCTGGTCAGTTTTAAGTATTCTCTTTGAAGTTCCTGTTATATTAACAAAGTGTTATTTCATTCCATTCGTCCTTCCCCTGTCAGAATCAACTTTTCAAAGTATATTTGTAAGTATTACATGCATCATCAATGTTACCCCCATTAAGAATCTAAAAGCTATCAACACTCGAGTGTCTTCGAGACTCATTTTGTTTTTCTCTAAGTTCTGAGGCCTTTAGCAAGTCTGACAGCGACAAAGCCCCAGAATCAACTCAAGGTAAAAATGTGGGCTAAATGATTATGTTGAACTGTTCTTGAAACATAAGATTTTTAGATGCATGCATTAGCTTAGTTCACCAAGGATAGGCTTCAGCATTGGGTTTGCTGAAATTATGATAGTTTTAATGCTGTCAAAGAGGATCTTTCTGGAAGTTAATTGTTTTTGCTTTTGTTTTCACCATCTGCTGTACGAGTATAATCTCCCTAACAACACTTAGGAGAGAGTGTGCTGAAGAAATTCTGAGCTGCCAAAGCTTTCAGCCAATTAGTAAGCGATGTATGGGTGCCATCATGGGTCTAAGGTGTCCAAAAGAAATGTTGTGATTCACTTGTCCGTACTTTATGTTCATCTTATCATCCCTTACATTGATAATTGCAAATATTCTTCTTGAATTGATCAACTCTACTGAAGTGATGTGATCATGCATATCTTACCATTTGGTTTCAGGATGAGCTGATGAAGAACGAACAGCTATTCTTCGGACTCACTCAGGTTCTCCGGAAATTTCCAAAAGAGACTGGTGAGTAAAACTAGAATGTACAGCAGTACAGCACCATATAGATATATAGTAAACAATCTGCATACATCTTGATTTTTCTCTACTCTTCTTTCTGATTCAATGCTGGTCCATCTCCCATGCTAGTGACTACCACTTTTACCTCTTCTTTTTTCAGATAGAGTACTCTGTAACTTCTGCTTCAAGCCCAAGAAAGTAACAAATGAGGTTATGGGTGTTGACAATTTCAAGAAAAGCCAAGTGTTGATATCAAACATTATTGTGCTTAAAACAACTTTGGATGCATTGCCTCTGCTTGGGAAGGTGAATTTTGGTTTGCATCACGTACACAAATAGTATGTGTGTCCCAAAATTGTCTGAAAATCTTTTACTTCTGAATAATTCAGGTTTTGAAGGATGCAAGTTGTTTTCTTCTGTCAAATGTTTTTAGGACTGTTTGTGAGAATGAGGATTACTCTACCATCAGAAACAGGTAACTGCAACCACCGTGCTTCACATTATAGTGTTTTCTTAAGCAAGTCTAAAGCTTTCAAAATATGATACAGAATTTGCGAGGTGTTCGATGAAGATGTTCTTCATGCACGTGTCCCTTTTGTGGCCCGAACACAGCAATGTTTTGCAGTCAAAGCTGGGATTGATGGACTTCTGGATATTGCAAGGAGAACATTCTGTGATACAAGTGAAGGTTTTCTAGTTTTCCTTTCTCCTCATTCCCTTGCCAGTCGTTCGCTACATAATTGTGTTTGCATCTTTCTATTTCTTTTGTTCTTTTTCATGATCTGTCATCCAATCTACCTACATGGATATTACAGCTATACACAACCTCGCGAACAAGTATCGTGAAGAATTTGGACTACCAAATTTGAAACTTTCATTTAATAACAAGCAAGGGTTTTACTTCAGCATTCCACAAAAGGATGCTCAGGGAAAGCTTACTAGCAAATTCATTCAGGTTCCTTGCATAAAAAAAAATTCTAAAGCTGTTTATCTTGTGAAGCTTCCTCTTAGCTGTGACTCTAACATTCTTGTGAACCATTCAGGTCGTAAAACATGGAAACCATCTACACTGCACAAGCCTAGAACTTGCTTCTGTAAGTGTCTCTTTAGTAGCAATTCCATAGCAATGTAGTGGTTTCACTATGATTGATTGCTGGATTATTTATTTTTATGGAATTTGACATTTTATGGTCATTTTATGAGGAACAAATCAAGTAGAGGTTTTCAGAATCTGTAATTATCAATAGACAAAAATGTGGCTAGTGCCTTGCCTTACTGGCTGCCTAATATTCTCACATGAAAGTTGGTACCTGAATATAGAGTGTAAATCAGGATGGAACTTACTGTTATTCGAAGAATATTATATGGTTATATGTATATATACCCTTCATTGCATGGGGCATGTGATCTGGTTATTGCTTCATGCACAAGGTATTAATTCAACTCGTCCACTAAGCAATGCTCTTAATGTGTCTTCCGCTGTTAATTTTAGATAGCGATACATCATGCAATTTGAAAAAAGTTTCTCTACCATTTTGGACCAGATTAGTCGACGTCTAACAAGCTGGTTCTCATATATTGTTGTTTTAAGATCCTACCAACACCCATAAAGCAAAATGTAGTGATTTGTCTACCTTTATTCTTTGTTGTCTACCTGAGTGAAGATGCCCACATCTTTATGTATTACTTTTTACGTTAATCGAGCTAGATGGAGTCTGAATAATGTTTCATTGATCGTGCTTTCTTCAATGATACGTGCAGCTTAATGTGAGAAATAAGTCTGCAGCTGGAGAATGCTATATAAGAACAGAACTTTGCCTTGAAGGTTGTAATGCACAGTAGCAGGCTTCTTCAATTTCTTTTAGTTTAAGCCGTTTCATTTTCCATATAGATGAAGGATATATTTCATCTCTGCTCTTTCGAGATTCTCTTGTTGATTGGTTCAGAACTTATGAAGCTTTTTATATGGCATAACACATCCAGCCCTAGTAGATGCCATCAGGGAGGATGTCACTACACTCACGCTTCTGGCTGAGGCCCTGTGCCTCTTAGATATGATGGTTAATTCATTTGCACAAACTATCTCATCAAAGCCTCTCGACCGATATACTAGACCTCAATTTACTGGTAAACCACAATGGAAGTTCGAATCTTGGATCTTGCAACTTTGACTGCAGAATCTCCATGCATGATTATCTGGATTTCATTTGCAGATGATGGCCCATTGGCAATTGATTCTGGAAGACACCCAATTCTCGAGACTATACACCATGAGTTTGTTGTTAGTAACCTCCTGCATTTCATTGCTGTTCAGTCTATTATTTTGCGTAGTTTTTGGTTTTGTATCCAAAACTGTGCATCATTCAGTACTATAATTCATCAGTGATTTTACTTTTGTTCTTCAGTCCAACGGTATCTTTATCTCGGAGGCATCAAACATGTTAATTGTCATGGGACCAAACATGTAAGAATACTCTAGCTTTAACTCTCTGGGTTTACATTCCCTGTCATGTTGTTTAATCATCTCATGTTTCATGTTGATTTCCTTCTCGTGTCCATTTTCTTGTTGCTGATGGCCTCAGAGAAATATTTCGGACCGACTTCATATGCTCTAACTTGCATTTACTAGTGGTTTGCTTCTCCTTGAAGCAATTGATACTTCTGCTTTCTGGGTTACCTTTCTGAATTGAGTAGTTTGATCTTCTGATCATTAACAGGAGTGGAAAGAGCACATATCTCCAACAAGTATGCCTTACAGTCATTCTTGCTCAAATTGGTTGCTATGTTCCTGCTTGCTTCGCAACTATTCGCATAGTTGATCGCATATTCACAAGGATGGGTTCAACGGATAGCCTAGAATCAAACTCCAGTACGGTAAACCTCATAACACCTAATGTTACCAACACAGTAAATGCAAGATTGTCTTCATGGTGGTAAATGATTTCTTTTCCCCCACTGCTGCTTGCAGAAAACTAATGATTTTATTTTGCTTTGATGCTGCTACAGTTCATGACAGAGATGAAGGAGACAGCTTTCATCATGCAGAACGTTACCCCAAGGTGAAGGACACAGCAGTCTCCGTATTTTTGGCCAATAAATTATGAAGCAGCAAATTAGACCATAAATAATAACATGTTTCTATTCTTGTTTCATCAAAATCTGTTGCTTTTGTAGAAGTCTGGTTGTTATGGATGAACTAGGAAGAGCTACTTCCTCCGCTGATGGATTTTCCATTGCTTGGAGCTGCTGCGAAAAACTCTTATCAATTAAAGCGTAAGTGCTTCTCACTCATAGACTTGCCCTAATACCACAAGAGTCTATCGGTAACAGAGAAAAATGCTCATATGATAGATAGCCGACATTTGTCTGAACTTTGTAGTTTGCTGTCATCATCATTATACCCACAGAAGCTTCGTTGAATGACTCTTCAGGTATACAATCTTTGCAACCCACATGGAGAACCTATCCGAGCTAGCAACTCTCTATCCGAACGTGAGGATTCTTCATTTCGACGTTGATGTACTTAACAAGCGTCTGGATTTCAAGGTAGATCTACATACTCATCTTTATTTTTTCCACCATCAGCTCTAGGCTCGTCTCTAAGTTCTGCTAATAATAATTTCTGGTGGTGCCAGTTCAAACTCAAGGATGGACCAAGACATATTCCGCACTACGGCCTTTTGTTAGCAGAAGTGGCAGGATTACCGAGGTCGGTGATCGATACAGCACAATGCATTACATCAAAGATCACACAAACGGTTGCTTTCTTTCCTCACCTCAGTTTTAGAATCCCATGTCGATTCCGACACTTACGTGATAACACATCTATAGCTTGATTTGTTCAGGAAAGGAAGAGAATGGAAGTGAACTGCGAGCAGCATCATCAACTGCAGATGATTTATCGGGCTGCCCAACGGCTATTGTGCTTGAAATATTCCAGCCAACCTGAAGATGCAATCAGGCAAGCACTTCAGAATCTCAAGGAGAGCTATCTAGATGGAACTGTCTGAAACCTTCAACTATTACCACAGTACTGGCAACCTTTCACATACCAACTATCAATTGTATTTTTACCATATTTAGGTAGAAACTACCAACAGGTTATAACATCGTATAAACCTTTTTGTAGCGCAAATATGAAACAGCTTATGTTCTAAATCAGTTATTGAGCCTATGCTCAAAAACGGGTCGGTAATTGCAGCTGTCAAGACCACAATCTAATGATTCGGAACCAAGACACTGATGAACACTACCTTCAAAATCAGTTAAGCAAATGAGTACAGCAATAACAATAAGCAACAATCACCTACAGATACAGAGGAGAGAAATGCTTCATTTCAACAGAAATATTCATTCACGGGTGTCCAAAAGTAACATACTAACGATATCCCAGGTCCAAAATTTTGAGTAATGAAGACAGGCAATATGTTCCCCATACAAAATCTGGCAAGCCAGAAACACAACGAAGATGAGAAACACTTCCAACTAAGCTCAACGGTATCGGCGGAGGGACAATGTGTTGTTCCTCTTCCAAGTAGCCCTGCGAGACGGCTTGTTCTTGTGGTACAAGTGCCCCTTTCCACGGAGTCCTCTGTACTTCTTTCCGGCGGAGGTGAGACCGCGCAGCTCCCTGTGCTTGTGGACCGGGTTGCAGAGCCAGTTGATTCTCGGGTCGTTGCGGATGGCATTGTGAGCCACATCCACAAGGATCACCTCAAAGTACTTGTAGGTGGAATCCTGAATATTACAGGGCAGTAAATCATATTTCATCAGTAATTGTTAAACCGAAGTCCTGAGAATAATTGAAGGCTGTATTTGCATGTATCGTACCTCGTTGACCCAGTAGGAGTTGAGGACCCTGAGACCGCCAAGTTTCCTTCCAGCACGCTCTTCAGCAACAGACCTCTTGCTTCTCTGGAACTTGAGTTGGGTAACACCCTGGTTGGTGGGCTTGCCATACACAATACCCTTGGGGACAGGCCTCTTCCTGCCTCCACGTCTGACACGGACACGGTAAACAACATACCCCTGCATCATTCATCAAACATCAATGATAAGACACCAATGCACACAAAACAACAAAAGGATTCAAATAAACTCCTACAAGTCCTCTGACAAGTTTTATCACCAACATTGTCAATTCGAACAAAGCTAAGCACGTGAAAGTAAGAAACTGCATTCGAGAAAGCAACTACAATGCATCTTACACCTACGAACAGAATACAGCAGCAGAGACTGTATCGGATCGAAACAAAAGTGAGTTCAGTAAAAAATGACAACCCACTAGGTCAGATGATCGACTGTGTGGTTTTCTTTCGCTGGCCTCAGGAAGCGCCTGATCAATTCAGGTAACCATCCTCTAAGAGTGGTCAACATGCCACTAAACAAGCACAACGAATACCCATCGCACCAATCCAAAACAAGGGATTATCTAAAGCTAACAGTGCAAACTCCAGCAGATTAGGTTCGCGTTTCTAGAACTATTCACTATCAAGCTCAGATATCACTAAGGAAAGGCTGAAAGTCGAACCGAATCCAAAGAACAGTGAATCAAATATTGACCTGCTTGGCCTTGTATCCCAGGCGCCTAGCCTTGTCGGGACGGGTAGGGTGGTTGACCCGAACGATCGACGGGTGCTGGCGGTACTCCCAGCACCTCACCCTCTGCAGAAACCGCATAACATCGGACTGCTTCTTCCTCCATAGCTCCGAGACATACTTGTACGCACCTGTTTACACATTACACGATTAAGAATACCATTTCCACACAGTTAGCCAATAGGATCCAGCGTGAGGCTTCACGAATCGCTTCAACAGAATCAAAGCAAACGAGGAATCGAGAGAGTGAGAGAATACCCATTGTATCGCAGCAGAACGCAGCCTCTTCCTGCTAGGGTTTCCTTCCGCTCACTTAAAATGGAGGAGCTCGAACCTGTAACGCAAAACCCTAATAGCCATTTTATAGACCGGCGCCGTAAAATCTGGATCGTCCATCTTGCCCGCGTTGTGGCCTGTCACAAAGCCTTAGCGAGCCGACATTTTGTTTGGGCTGACTACCGGGCCATTGGCTATTGACTATTGACTAGTTGGGCCAGAAAGTGCAATTGGGATGGGCTCAAATTGTTTGCCCACTTTTTGCGGCCCAAAATTATAAACTCGTTTGGTTGAAATGAACCAATATCCGTCCGGATTGGCGGCGGCGGAGCAGTGGAATTTCCTCAGCCGTGAACAATTCAATTCTACACATTCAACACCTTGCAGCTTCCTCCTCCCTCTGTCGCACCCAGAAGAAAGCAGCCATGGCGGTTTCTTACTCTTCCTCACTGTCGAGCTTCGCCGCCGCCGCATTTTCGGAAACGAAGGCTTCCATCGCTCCGGCCTCTTCACAGGCAGTCAGATTTGCCTCCATTTCTTCGGCGCGCCCGTTCATCGCCCCTCTGACATCCAACTCTACCGTCCTCCGCAATCGACGCGCATCCTTCGTAACCCCACGCGCCGCCGCCGAATCTCACTCCTCACCTACCTCCTTCCATGGCCTCTGCTACGTCGTCGGCGACAACATCGACACCGACCAGATCATCCCCGCCGAGTACCTAACCCTCGTTCCTTCCAACCCCGCCGAATACGAGAAGCTCGGATCCTACGCCCTAATCGGACTCCCGGCTTCCTACGAGAAGAGATTCATCGAGCCGAACGAGACGAAGACGAAGTACTCCATCGTGATTGGTGGGGAGAACTTCGGGTGCGGCTCGTCTCGCGAGCACGCTCCGGTTGCTCTGGGGGCAGCGGGAGTGGCGGCGGTGGTGGCGCAGTCGTATGCGAGGATCTTTTTCAGGAACTCGGTGGCGACGGGGGAGGTGTATCCGCTGGAGAGCGAGGTTAGGGTTTGCGAAGAGTGCAGGACTGGGGATGTGATAACGATTGAGCTGGGCGAGAGCCGATTGATCAATCACACGACCGGGAAGGAATACAAGCTGCAGCCGATTGGGGACGCCGGTCCGGTGATTGAGGCCGGCGGGATTTTCGCCTATGCCAGGAAGACTGGGATGATTCCACAATCAGCTTAAAATCAATCTTCAGGTTTTTCTTTTAACTCTTTTTGAGATGCCAGCTGATGTTTCGCCTCATTCTAGTTTTTCATAGTTGCAGCTTTTACTTTAATCCCTGTCCTGTACCTTTCTGTTTGAGTATTGGCCTGACTGAGATCCCAATTGCCATTGTTAGGCACTTGAGTATGAAATTCGGTGTTAGAAAATCTGAGAAACCTGTTCAGATGCAAGAAAGTCTTCAGCTTTTTTCCAAAAACCTCACAAACTGAGGCCCGTATGTTATTGGTTTGATAGTAGTACTGGTACTAACCCAACAACTGCTGTAAGACGGGACATAGGAGGGCACAGACTAAGACTGGCTGACATGCTTTGATTACGGTGATAGCTGAAGATGGAGATGGAAAGTCGCTTCTCTGTATATATAAGCGTTTAGTAATTGTAGCTGATAGGGAGTCTTTGGTTGTATTGGAACCGAATAGTTCATTAACTGATAGGTAGGCTATGTATAAGACTCTGCTGCTGTAGAACATATTTGTTGCATGTTTGAAAGGTTCGATTATAGGCTACTCCATTAACAGAAGTGAGCATAAGATTCTTACAGGTAGCAAGTCTTGTTTCTACAGAATGTTTTGTCTAGTTTTGGTAATAACTGTACTAGTTCGTACATTTTTCAGTGGTGACTTGTAGCTATCCCGTCATTCTTGTCCATTGAATGCCAGTTCTATCACTACCCTTCATAGTTCATACTTGTCAGTTATAGTGGTTCCGAGTGAAGTAAAGATTAATAGTCAGAGTCTATTTAAGCCTGGATCAGAAGTTAATCTCATTTGCCAGTTGGTTGACAGAAGTTGGCTACCTAAATTAGAAATCGTTTTACTCAAATCCCCAATTAGTGTCTGGGAAGGGAACTATTATGGAAAAACTAAACTGTAAAACCATCGGGGTCAAGTAAGATGAGTCTGGAGATTATGCTGTGTCAATATGAAGGACGTCAAGTTATTTGCCTGATACTTGGTACATTGCAGGACAACTTCTTAGCTTCATTATTAACAATTTTTGTTATCTGAGTATTGGTAATTGCTTGCCGTTTTCCACATCAATCCATGATGGTAGTGTTCTTAATTTATCATCTCTATCTCCTCATTTTGACAGGCGTTTGCAGTCTGCGGTTAGATGCACATTTCAGGACTTGGTCATTTCCCCTGATTTCACTGTTTCCTCTTGTTGGTCGATAGAAGAAACACTTACCATTCTGCCTTTCCAAATTTTTTGCCTCAACCTCTGTTTATCGGCCATGGCTGAACCGTAGGTGAAGAAGGACTGAATGGTGGAAGGGCGTTGGTGTTCCAGTAGCTAGTTTGTTTGAATGATGTCCAAGAGGTCTGTTCCGTTCCATATGTTGCTGCAATTTGTTCTGTTCCGTCATCTAAGAAAGGACGACTTAAAATGTTGTAGGGTTGGTGATTTTTCCTCATTGTGTTGCTCGCTTGTATCAGTTTTGCGCACGTACTTCGGCTACATCTTGTTGTTATGCAGAACAATTATTTTTTTGGGTTTCTGCATTCTGTTACTTGTGTGACTTTCTTCCATCAAATCCAAACTTTAAACACCATAAACTGATGCAAAATCCAGCCGATTGAGAGACAAAAAGAAAACATGCAAACCGATCGAGGTGCTCCAGACTAAATTAACTGTTATGATCTTCTAATGATAATCATCGAACAATTTGTTAAACGAGAAAGAAACAATTGACTAATCACGCTTTTAATTTGGCCATTTTAGGTTAAACGAGAAACAAGCAATCGACTAATCACACTTATAATTTGGCCATTTTAGATTAAGTGAACAAAATCACTAATCATGTATAGCTATGGACCAAGGCTATTACGAATGTGGATTTCACTTTTATGGCACCATGCAAATTATTTCATCATTTCATCAACCAATTGTACATTCTTAACTTATGATTATTACCACTACGATACAGCAAATTATTTGTAATTTGATTTTCAATCTCCTTTATTTTTTTGGTAAATTTTCAATCTCCAATAGACACTAGATAGTGGTTCAAAAGTTCTCTTTGTTTGCTGCTTTAGAATTGAATGGTCAGTTTTTATGAATATCCAAAAACCTTCCTATTTGCTATTTTTCAGATAAGAGTGCGATGCGAATCCTTCAAGTGATCCAAACTCACCAATCAAGTTTTTTCACAAGTGGGTTTACTCAAACCGAGGGGTTATATATTCATTTTAAATCGCCCTTAATGACTATCAAGTTAAATAACACATTCATTTTGCTGGAGCGATGCCAAGAAACAAGGCCATATAAGAAACAGAAGGATTTCTTATTACAAAGAGGAACAACCACATAAATAACGGACAATTCCTTTGCGCTCGTCAAAACGAAAAGGGAAAGACGCCAGGCAACAAGGGTGGCTTCTGCTCTTTTTTTCTTATCTTTAATGGGAAAATTCCACATTCCAAAACCACAAACGACTGGGGGAAAATCTCTCAATTCTCCTCATCATGTACAAAATACAGCAGCAGAAACCCATGCCGGCGAAATGAGAGCACAATCGATCGCGCTTTGCAGCGATTCTTCTCCATTCATTTTCCCCTATGCTTCCTGTCCCTTGAGCTTCTGGAGGAATGCTTCACATCCTCTTCCCACTCCTGCTGCGGGGGAGGGGACGGCTCATACCTCGACGGCTTCCTCTTGAAATGCCTCTCATCATCATCGCTCGATTCATAATCCGCCGCCACAGCACTGCTGCTCTTTCTGCCTCCACCACCGATGGAAGCCGACGCAGAAGATTTCCTGTCGTAGTAGCCGTTGCCCCCCGATGCAGAGGACTTCCCACCAGCAGCTGAAGAAGCTGCTGCTTCAGGAGCAGCGGAGGAGGAAGACGATCCCTTCCGCTTCTTGCTAGCCGCTGCTTCACCCTCCGGAAAGCTGATCCGCGAGAACACGCTGGCCTTCCGCTTCCGTTCATCTGCCGCAGCAGCTGCAGCTGCAGCCGCTGCGGAGTCAGAAGCCGTCTTAGTTGAGGATTCCGAGCGCTTGCGGTGATGGTGGTGGTGATCACGATCGCGATCAGAATGATCGTGATCTCTTTCGCGGTCTCGGTGCTCGTGGTGGTTGTGATGGTCGTAGTCTCGATCCTTATCCTTGTCGCGGCTGCTGCCATGATCGTTGTGGTCCGACTTTCTCTTGGACGAGCGCTGCGGAGGAAGCGGTGGTGGCGGCCCGTCGAGCTCCCTGGCGGCGGAGCGGTCAGGTGATGGCCTTCCCGGTCGGTGACGGTGGTGGTGAGAATCGCCGTTCACTTGCGGAGCGACATTCCGCTTTACCACACCAAAAATCACAACAGAAGAACAAATGCGTTAGAGCGATTAATAAAAGCCGGCACAATACAATCAGCCCAGCTAAGGCCCAGAAATTGTTTAAAGTAAAAAAAGGTCCAAAGAATACAAGGCCCAGGGTGCCGGTCCATAGTTACAAGTTGACTGTGACAAACCGGTTTTGGCCAAAAGTTTTGACTTTTGAGGGAGAAAATCGAATAAAATTACCATATTCTGTTTAAAGAAACGTTTTCCTTTTTTATGAATAACAGAAATTCCAAATAATTCATAAAAATACATATTTGATTTCTATTATAGTACACAACAAAAGTACATACAGATTTCATGGACGGACCACCATCGTTAGGTCCACTGCTGCTCACTTCTCTTCCAAATTCCCGCTCTCTCTGAAACTCCCTGTGGCTGCACCCACCAACATACAACATTCACACAGGTTACATTTCCCAGAACTTCAACCCAAGCACACACCCAGCAAGTCCACAATTAGCATGCTACCAAGAGCTTTTTCCAAATTCGAACCGAGCTCCGATTCAAACCCATTGGCAGACTAATCTTCGACCTCTCGGATGGGACCAAACACATGAGATGTATCAAAACAAGAAATAAAAGATCATCGATCATTTGCTGGACTGATCTTGTCAACTGAATTGCCAATCCCATCGAGCATCAAGATCCTACGATACCTATGACAACTTCTCCATTTTCCCGATTGCAGTAGAGAAAAAGGGAGAGACCACAAACATACCTTTCAGCAGCTCGCCTCTCCATTTCACGCCGCCTCCTCATCTCAGCTTTCCGGGCCTCAAATTCTTCTCTGCTCATAGCTGGTGGACCATGATTCATCCCCATCCCCATCCCCATTCCCATTCCCATTCCCATCCCCAAATCAGCAAGATCCCTGTCAAGGAAGAAACGGAATTCATCGGCTTATTATACCCTAGTCAATGAGAATTTGCGGGGAAAAGGAAAACAAGAAGTCTGAATGTTACATACCTCTGAGGTGGTATCATTGGCATCATATTGTTCATAAACCCTTGTGGAGCAAAAGGATCCGGTGGCATCATACCTCCAAATGGAGGCATGTCCAATGGGCCGAGGCCGTAACCCATAAATGGCATTGGAGCGCCACCATTGTACGGATTCATATATGGATCCATCCCCGGTGGTTGCATCCCACCCATCATGTAAGGATTGAATGCAGCAGGGGGCATAGGCATCATGAAATTCTCGGGTCCGAGATCTTGACCACCCTTCCACATATCTGCTATAAGCATTTGAAGCATGTCATCAAGCTATACGAAAGCTGAAACAAACAGACGTGGAGTCTGCCATACAAAAAGAGCCGAAAAGGAAACAAAACTGACAGACAGACGAGTTTCATAAGGCAATTACCATTTGGAGGCATGCGAACTTTCTTCTTTTTCTTTTTCTTTGCTGCAAAAAAGTAAATTCGAACATTAGACCTCTTACGCTTACAGCATCATAAACTAATAGTAAAGCAGACCACGACAGTAAATTGATAAATAAAAAACAAGTTACCTGCATCGCCAGAAGCAAGCTTTTGCTGCACTTCTTCCTCCATGAGGGGAGCGCTACTTTGTGATGCTGCTGCCTCCTTCACACTCATTGACTCATGTGTGGCATCTGACGCATCAACCACCTTAGAAGTTCTTGACTTCTCGACTGCTGGTGGGGGGACAGGTCCAGGAACAGGCTTCTCCTCAATGGGCGCTGGCTTTATATTTTGCATAGCGGCTGGTTCAGCAGACGGATGAGGCAATCTTGGCTCTTCTTTTGATGCAGCAGACTGTGTAGGAGAAGGAAACTTGGGCTGTGGACAACGAGCTGACTCCATATCTGTCCTTAAAAAAAGGGCCGAGTTACAGAAAGAATAAATGTCCACAGACAGTACAGCTCAGGTTCATAAAATGTTAAAAATCAAACCTTGAACTTGGAAAGTGCTTCCAGCATTATCTGCGCTACTGTTCCCTGACTCTAAGATACGATTAATGGTATCCCTAAGAGTCTTGTTTGGAAGAAGATCATCTGCAAGAATACTTGTTGCCCCACATACACACTTTGATTTCGAGATAATGTAATCCCTAATACCTGTGTCAGAAAACAGTAAAAAAGGCATACATAATTAGACATGTGAAAGATGTCATGTAGCCTATAGGAGGAGACACGCAAATTATCAAAGCTGATGGTTAAGGACCCAGGGTCAAGCAAATAGTATGCCCATTGCAACATTGATCACAATCCACATGAGGCTATGATTACTACTGTAACTAAGTAGTCTAACTTCGGCAGACAACATAATGAAGATTAAAGAGGAAGAATAAAGCACAGAAGATCGATCAAACTTACATTTGTCACAGAAGCTTTTGAAACAACACCTGCTTGTCAGCACAGCATCTTTCATAACTTCTTTGCACAAAGGACAGTGAAGTTCAGGCGGAAGTTCGCCAACAGGTCTCGTGGAAGGCAACCCTTCGATTTCTCTCTCGAATGCAGCCCTGAAACAAGTTTTGGATACAGAATGAATCTTCAAGCTAAAGACAGGTTGAGAAAAAGGCCTAGCTAGGTGTGCGATTTCAGAAGCTACCCGGAAACAAAGAAAATAAATTAAAGGGTCTCAGCTTACTCATTTGGTCTTAAAACAGCAACAGCACCACTAGGCAATGCATATGAGCCATCTGGTGTTGCCATTAGCATCGACTTTGGGATTCCTGTCGGAGGCTTTACTCTCTTGATATCATAATTTGGATCACCATTGGTGGGGCAGTGCTGAATAAAATGTCCTGGAATAAAGAAACAAGGATTTTAATTTAAAAACACATATCGTTAAAGTAATAAATAAATAAATAAGAGAAATACTATCACCTGAACGTCTACATACCTGGTACCTTACACCTGTGACACACATAACCCTGCGGAGGATTTTTCCTCTCCATACCTAACCAAAGTCAACAACGAAAGAAGTTATACGCCACAAGAAGAGCTATTACAATTAAATAAACAAGTTTCCGCAACTTAAATTATGGGAGATTTCTAGTATCCTACAACTGTAAATAATATACAGAATGACTCACCGAATCCACGTCCTCCCATTCTACCACCCATCCCCCGGCCAAACCCTCTACCGTGGCCAAAGCCATCATTACCTTGACTGAAAATTCAAGTGTATAAAATATAAGTTCTCAGTGACAGAATTACAATGGGCAGTGACAAACAAACAATCCATCAACCTAATTTTACCAAATGAAAGGCGGCTTACCGCTGCCAATCCAAAGCTGGAGTATCAATTAAAGCTTTAATCTTGTATTCCTCTTCAGCCTGGCTGGCAGGAGGAGCTTCAGGAGGTGCAATGCTTGATTGTACTGGTACGACTTCCGGGATTGCATATAAGTCATTACCAAACTCATCCCACTCGGTCTCATCAGTCTACACAAGTTGGAATACACAGAAACAGATAAGTGTTCTGCTGGCTGCTGTACTTGTGAAGCATCTGTAACAAGTTGGTGTAGACACTTACATATTGAAAAGTAGATGAATCACCACCTACAAAGCCACTTTTCTCCTGCGGGGTATCATCTGCCTTAGTTTCCACCTTTGGCCTGCAAATATAATGGCCAAACTCATACATGTCCTCAAGATCTGTTTAAGTTGCTACATAAGGAAGAGGTCTGTCACGTAATGTGGCATCATCCTAGTGGACACTATCAGAAGGAGTTGTTCAATAGAACTGTTACAGTGACCATCGTCACTTCGATTAACAGTACAAAGGTTAAACAACACAGACTGTAGTCACAAGGATGATCACAGTTACGAGAAGCCCAACCAATATCCAAAATGTGGGGATACAAAACAGTATACATTATACAATACATAAAGGTTTGAGATAGTACTCTTGCTCAGTAACAATGGGCATGCGAGGGCGACCAGGAACTCGGCGAATTAACACAGCAGTACTTTTTGGAATTAATGATGCTTCATCAAGATACTCTGAAAGTGAAACAGAGAAGAACACAACCATAAAATACCAAACCTAATTAGTGATGAAACCAAATTTATAATTCACCTAGACGACTGCTTGTCATCAACCATCCATCCTAGCCATGACAAGCCAAGAATAATCAGATAAAGCCAGTTTTATCCAAGGTCGAAAGATCATTTCACGATGCATAGTGCACAGCTCCTCTAATGAGAAATTTCTCACCAGATGCACTAAACAAAAACTAAGCATGGATCACAATGTCACCTCCTTATCTAAGAAAAACCGAAGGGAAAGCGGACAACTATATAAGTAATGCATGTGCTTCAACTATTTAAAGCACTTAATCGAAGGCTATCAGAATGACTTGGTGTCTGACTCCTGGGTTCAAAAGGACGCAACGAGAACTAACACAAACATCAAGAAGCCACCTGAAATCTATCTATATCTGGAATCCAGTTTCATTTACAACTTAAACGACGAAGAACGAAACCAACCTTCATTAGTTTGGGCATTAGTCACCACCAGATCGAAGTCTGTACCCCTGCCCAGGTGCTTTGATTCAAATATTTTTTCTTTCAAAGTACCAACAGATATAAAGGGCCCATCCATTGAGATTGAATCATAATCTTTTGCACTCTTAAACTTGTAATACACTGCCATTTCTCCTTTTTATAAGATTAGATATATAACCAAAATCAAACCAAATAGAAAGAAATTAAAGGCCTCCTAAAAACAGGACCTTTGTATTCAGCTCAACTCAACTCAATGACCATAAAATAGAAACATGGATACACAAAAGTTGAACCCTTTTTCCCTTCTAGATTCTTCGAAGTGCTCAATCAAAAGGTATTCAAACCAAACCAACTAATCAGGAGCTTTCCGACGCTACTCCGGCCAGCACGCATCCGCAAGAACCATACAAAGAAGCCACTGCCATCTCCATCCAAACTGTTGTCAAATTCGCCTCCGGAATCACAACGCTGTTTAACAGAAAACTGTGGCTCCACCAAATTGGCGATCCAACCACTGGGTGCAGGATTTAACAGCCATACGATATCTTCAACCCCGACTCCGAACTGTGTATCCCGAACAAGGGAGCTCAGCAGTATGCAGCGACAAAGATTAAACTAACCCCAGTCAATCCACGAACACAATACAATCGAAGCCGAGATCAGGTCCTCTGATCGGGAACGCCACGAGTTCTTCCACGAAGCAGAGTCAACCGCGACACAAGGAGCCCCGTCAATCTTCCATCGATTGAAGCGAAATCTCGAAAAGAGGGAGATTCCCGGCTCCTGGAAGTCTTGCCGACCTAGGAAGGATGCTCCCCCTTAGGGCTTATCAGGCAGCGAAGAAGAGAAACCGAGAGTGTGGCATAGCCAGAAGGCTAGGGTTAGGGTTCCGCGCAGGATTCCCCAGTGGAGAGGGAGAGCTCGTTGGAGCCGGATTTGGGGATAATCCGAGAGAGAGAGAATGAGAGATTGGGGATGTTTTACTCGAGAAGACAGAGAGAGAAGCAGCGGTTTTTCGCTTATCAATCGACCGATTCGACCCAAAGTCCCAAACTGACTGACAGTTCGGACTTCGGAACCTTTTAATTTACGGTCTTTTCTTATATGTGATGATGGGATAACCGCAGCTCTGGTCTAGATAATGGGCCTTAGTTAACCTGATTGGGTTGGGCCAACGATGCTGTTTGGGCTTGTTTGACCCATTCTTTCCTTTTTCATAGATATTCCAAAAATGGAAAATATGTTAAAGCTAAAGAGTTTAAATATACAAGACCTTTTCATGCCAAATCTACAAATATGGAAAATATGTTAAAGCTAAAGAGTTTAAATATACAAGACCTTTTCAGGCCAAATCTACAAATATATTATAGCAGAGTTGGTGGCAATTTTTCAGCATTTCAAATTTCAAGCCACGAGAGCGAAAGTAGGAAGGATAAATTTGTCTTTAGGATTATTATTTATTCCTTAATCATAAGAAGAAAAAATTCATTAATTTCGGGGTCTTTTTAGAGAAAGACAACAATCATTACCACTTACACAAAAGAAACAATTTGTATCTTTTTAAATAAATAAAGAAAAAACCTAACATCTGAAAGTCATATGACTATTCCACTATTTGTAACTAGCCCACTAACTCTCTCATAAGTACTTTCCTTGATGTTTGATATTTGAATTTCATATTTTGATTATTTGAATTTAATTTTAATACTAAATTTAATTTACGTCTATCTTATAAATGGATCAGAATTTTAAAATTGCAACCTAAATATAATTTATTTAAATATTGCATATGAAATTATAGTAGTGAATGTGTAGATGTGATGTATAATTCTTAATTTAGTATTAATTATTAGAACTACCATAAAGCAACGGTTGAAGTAGATTCTTCTTTTTTATCAGTTGCTCAAGACCTTTGGTCTCTACCCAGAGCCGAAGAAAAAAATGGGGATATTGTTATGCAAACTATAAGTGATAAGGTCTTTGAAAGTTTTAGTTCGATTAGTTGTTAAATCCTAAATCTCTTAATAACATGGCATGATTGGACCCATGGATGAGTTTAAAATAACACAATTTATGAATACCAATTTTGTAGATGATTTCACTTATTTAAATCTTTTATATTTATAGAGTAATTGATCATTTGTATCATTCGGATTTAATTATTTTAATATGGAATAAGCGTAGTACAAGACAAATCATGAAACTCGGGCTGAAGTTTTCATGCACATTGATGTGGTCAAGTGTGTTAGCGAGGTAGGTACCATAAGATAGGTTTTATTTTATTTTTGTTGAGTGAATAAGATTTTCTTTCAACTAAAATTGAGTATGTTGGCTGATAACCATTTTCTTCATTGCATAGAGTATGGATATATAATGTTATTTTCTCACTAATTTTGTTATTGTATTGTGTATAATACTTAAAAGTGTAGATATTGATATATGTGTATTATTTCTCAATAAAACAAAGAAATATTTGCTAAAAATTATGATTATGTGTTTCCTATTTATGCTATGTTTTTTCAGACACACTCTTTTTCTTTTTTTTTATGTCAATTTTTTTCAACCATAGGCAACTAAGTGACTACATTATAAAATAGACAAGTCATGAATAATTATTCACGAGTGTTATAACCAAGGTTGTTAAATCTCTACTGGCCCATCGATTATACCATGTCCGACCATAGTCGTGCTCTAAAATGATTTTCACAAAGTCAGCAGTCAGATTGATGGAAGAGGGGGGGGGGGGGGGGGACGGATGGGGGATGGGTACTGAGGTATGAGATAGGTAGTTTTTATGGAATATAAATTTTTAATAGATATAAATCAGGTACATTCCATTTTATCATTTAATATTTTTTTTATATGCATATATATATATTTAGAAAAAAGTGTAAAACGGCTCAAACAAGTTGGACTCAATCAAATCATTAAACTTCAAGCAACTTGTTTGACTGGCTCAACAACTTAAATCGGTTTAACAAGTTTGGTTATAAATATCATCATTCAGATTGCAGTGTTCATTATTGATGAAAAGTTACAAGACGACTTTAAAAAATGGAAACATAATTTCGATGCTAGCTTAATGTCATACAAAATTTAGAATTTTAAAAAAATTAATAATTTAGATACATATCATAAATACGTTGTATTAAAATGACATTCCGACCAACGGGTCGGACACCAAGCTAGTTTTACGAAAAATAGCCTCCTTATCATCATCTGGAATAAGCTCCTTGTATCATAGTTTACCAGACTTCGCAAAAGAATCCTAACTTTCGAGGAACAGGAAGAGATCACGTTAAGTTTCATGACTTTAATGAAATAGCAGCAACGGGGATACCAAAGAACTTACCAAAGTACTTACCAATAGGAACTTACCAAAGAACTTACCAACGGTGATAATCATATTTGTCAAAGTACTTACCAAAGAACTCATAATGCCATATCACCTTATCAGACACAAGAAGACCAAAATGGGGATACCAATAGGACCTTGACAATAATTTCATCAAATAAACCTCGAAACAACTACACTCGTCAAGCCCCAGACTATTGATCAATAAGAGAAGAAACGAAAGCAAAAGCCAAAACCATATTAGGAAGAAAACGCGGACACAAATAAGAGATGGTAGGAAACCACATATCGTTTGTGAAATGTATAGTTGTCCTCTAACTTTTGTAGGTTACTTCGAGAAGAGCATCAAGTTCTTCAATGATACGCCAAGCTTAATTCGCCCAGCAAAGCAAGGATGTTACTGTCAAAATCGTGAAACCCAAACCCACCCGACAACTTAGACATGCAAAGAACTCACCAAGATGGCTATCTCATGTCCGTTTCTTGGTCTTGTCAAGCCAAGTAGAAATGCGATAAGTGGTCGTCCAATTGTTTACAAAAGTTAGAAGTGAGTCTGAAACTGGACATGACATTTATGAGTGAAGCAACAACAACTGGTTTCCTAATTGTTTCTTGGGTAGAAAGAGTCTTCAACTTTGATTTCCACTATTGTAGTCGTTGGACCAAGTTGTCTTTTGAGAACGATAAATTTTCTGTTTAGTGTTGGACATACAGTAAGGAAGTCTGAAATAGTGTTTGTGAGGTGGGCTAGCCGAGAATCCCAGTTGTGAATTGATCAAGTTGGCTTTGGAAGACATTAGGTGCTAAAATGGGGTTAATTGCATGGTTGGTCACTAACATTACAAAAAGCGTTCATGTTTGGTCACTGAAAAAATTTAAATCCATTTGTGGTCACTAACTTTACAAAAAGCGTTCATGTATGGTCACTCTCCGTTAGCTGCCGTCCAACGCCGTTAACGGCCTCCGTTAAGTGATGACGTGGCTGACGGATTCGCCTAATCAGCACCTTTTGACCCTAAAATTGACCGCCACGTCATTTAAACCCGCCATGTCAGCTAAACCTAACCAAACCTCTACCCAAACCCGAACAGACCCAACCCGCTAACTAAAACCAAACAGAACCAGACCCCAACGATTTTTGGACTAAACCCTAATCTAATCGCGCAGCCTTCCTCCATCGCGCAGCTTCCTCAGCTCAACCCGCTAACTAAAACCAAACAGTAAACACCTCATACAATTCCCCAGCTCTTCCTTAGATCCTCCTTCAACCCGGCCAACTGCTTCGCCGGCAGCATAACGGTCACCGTCTTCCCAGATCCCTCCCCTTCCTTCTCGCCCTCGCCGCCGCCGCCGCCTGGAAGCACCAGCACCGCCCCTTCCTCGCCGACTCCCTCAATCTTGCAATTCGCAAACACCGGCTTCCGCCCCTTCATCTGCAGATCGTAGACCGGGGCCTCCTCCAGGTTCACAAATGTCAAATTCGCTCCGTACACCACGCAATCGAACTCCCCGCCGGCCATCGCTTCCTCGATCGAATCGCTCTCGTCTTCCTTCCTCTCCGCAATCAACTCCGCCAGCTCGGACACCTCGCACTTCGCCACCGCGAAATCGGCGTGGACCGCTCCCACCGCCATTTTGTTGCTCGGAAGCTCGCGCTCCCTGCCCGCCGCCGCGGGGTATTTGTTCCAGCAGATCGTCACCGTCGTCGCCTCTCGGATCTTGGCCACCGATTTCCATAGGATCGCCGCAAGGAGATCGAAACGGGAGATCTTGGCGGTGGAGGCGGAGGTAGCCGCGGATGCGATGTCGTTTAGCTGCTGAGCTGTGAGGCGGAAGGTGTGAGTCCTAATCTAAGCTGCGCGATGGAGGAAGGCTGCGCGATTAGATTAGGGTTTAGTCCAAAAATCGTTGGGGTCTGGTTCTGTTTGGTTTTAGTTAGCGGGTTGGGTCTGTTCGGGTTTGGGTAGAGGTTTGGTTAGGTTTAGCTGACATGGCGGGTTTAAATGACGTGGCGGTCAATTTTAGGGTCAAAAGGTGCTGATTAGGCGAATCCGTCAGCCACGTCATCACTTAACGGAGGCCGTTAACGGCGTTGGACGGCAGCTAACGGAGAGTGACCATACATGAACGCTTTTTGTAAAGTTAGTGACCACAAATGGATTTAAATTTTTTCAGTGACCAAACATGAACGCTTTTTGTAATGTTAGTGACCAACCATGCAATTAACCCTGCTAAAATGTATGGATTTTGGTAAGTTAACTTTGTACCCACTAGCCTGCTGATATGACTGGAGGAGCTACAGAAAATGATGACAATCGGGGACAGAGGCACGAAGGAAGAGATATGAGTCGTCTAAAATAGCAAGTGTGAAATCGTTGGATAATGAGTATGTATTTTAAGACAATGAATATAATTAGAATCGATAGCATGGTTAATGGCAACAAGAAAAGGCTTATGTACGCAAAGCAAACAATAGAGGAAAAGAGGATAGGAAAAGAGGAACTATGTGTGTTCAATTTTGAGGAAAATGCTCGTGATTATTACGTTTTAGTTACCTTGACCATATATTATATAGGAAACTTTTTTGAAAAAAAGGTTACATACCAACACGGGTTTTACCACTTGGAATGAAGCAAGACACAATTTGGACCCAAGATTCCTTGAAGCTTAAATAAATGTGCCACGTGACATTTATCTTACCATTATGATAATTTCATGAGGAATTTTACAAATGTTATATAGTATTGGTGTTATAGGTTTTTGCTTTTATGGTACAACTTGAAATTGTACCTTTAACGTTATGGTACAACTTCAGATTGTACCTATACTTTTTTTACAAATTATTTATGATACAATTTGAACTTGTACTTTTATGTGATGGTACCACTTCAAGTTGTAAAGTTGTATAATTACAAAATGGATAATTTTTAGGAATTCAATAGGTTTGGTTAAAATAAAAGAATCTGAAAAAAGTTTGGGTAAAAAATAGACATTGCCCTTAATGTTATGGTAAAACTTCAAGTTGTACATTAAAGCACCAATGCTATATAGCATAGTAGAGTGCTCTAATTTCATTAGAAGTTCATTGATCACAATAATATTTTGGTGTGGTGCTATATAACATAGTAGAAGTGCTCTAATTTCATTAGAAGTTCATTGATCACAATAATATTTTGGTCTACGTTTTACAAATGCAACCACTATTAAAGTTTTCTCCCGTTCTCTCACTCTCACAAGTCGATACTAAACTTTGGTGTTTAGGAAATTGGTTGTTCGGCAATTTTATCTGGACATTATCCATTCATTGTTCTCATTTGTTGCTAATGTGGTGTGCTTATCTTCTAAGTTCTAACAAATCATACCATGTATCAAACAGAAAGTACCAAAAAACATGTAGAAGCCACTAATCTAATCCACTTAAGTAATCAACTATTTTTAATCTAAAATGATTGTGATATCTCAAACATTAACCAACATAACCAAACATCCACCTCAAGTAGATTGCTCTTAAATAATATAATAACATATAATTGATCAATTTTTTGATACTGATGAGATTTGTCGAATAAGAAATATATATGAAAATATATAAGACCTCTACGAAATAATATAGTATCACAAATTGGTTTGAGTATTTTTCGAGTTTTAATCATGCAAACCTACACCCACCCACAAATATGTTGGATTTTGGTTTGATTTGTTCATTCCTACATGCACCGCCAGAGATAACTCGTAATTCAGCTTTTTATCGAGTGTTATAGCACAATCAATCGTGTCCTGGTTCTATTAGGTGGTATTGGTAAGCACAATCAATCGTACGTAGCCAAAGATGGTTGGCCTGATCTGCTTCGTTTTGTATGGTGTTCTTCCTAAACCCCCAAATGAAGTTCTATCTGGGATGAATATGGTCGATTCAGAAACAGGGGAAAGGCAATCACGATAAGGGAATATACACATGCAGCAACGACCAAATCCACTTCACTCAGCAAGTTAAAAATCCAAATATATCAGATTTTACATCAGTTTACCTGCACTACGACGAACCAACTCAACCGAATGAAATCGAACACAAAACCATAATGATTAAATCTATCCATTTATGTTAAAACTGGCAACGATAATGGCAATGGCACAATGATTTGATGCACTCTAACTATGTGGTTCAGTGTTTTCCCCAAAGAGGAATGGTTAACTGGAAAGAGAAAGAAAACGTAAAGAGGCCACAAGACTACCATATCATACATCAGTCAAGATCAAGGAGGATACAATCACAACGTACGCTAGGATGAAGAAGATAGCTATCTGAACAAAGAACTTGGGATTCTCTCTCATGTTCGGCGATGTCACTGCCCTGGAGCATCAGAAAAGAGAAAAGAGCGAGGGACACCAGAACATCATTATGCGCCTTGATACTGAAATCGCAGTCAAGCAAGTAACAAGATGTTTACCTTGCAATGCGTTGGGAAAAACGTTGAAAGGGCAAACTCTGGATGAACACGATCCCTGGTCCCGTTAGGGTAGCTGTTACCATATTGTCTCCCTGCAATCCCAAACCCACCACTAAGATTCGTGACAGAAGCAGTTAAAAAGGATAGAGAGAGAGATATACTTACGCCAAAGACAGCCCTTCTAAGGGGACCGTTATACTTTATTTGAACACTGACAGTGGAATTAACCGCGGCAATACAGGAGACATCCACAGTTAGTACCTCTCCAACATCAAGCTTCTTCTGCACAACTAAGGACAAAAGAATCAAACGAGATGTTAGTAGCAACTTGTTATCAAGGAAAATCCAGTGTAATTTTCTTATCACGCACTAGTTGGGATGTGGAGGCATACCAGATCCACCAGCAATAATGAATGCAAGACCTTGTCCAGTTAGTTTTTGTCTCAGAAATCCCTGTTACACGTCAATAATTCATAACCACGTTGAACACCATGAATAAGATTGGCAAAAAGTTTATTTCACAAAATTAAAAGCTCAAAATATCTTACCTCTGCACTACCCATCACGTTACGCGCCCTTGGATCAACCGCAACATTCACATTAACGTCATTGATGGAGCAAAGGAATGCATCTGGCTACACAACAAATGAAGAGATACATAAATTTGTAGCTGTAAGCAAAAATCAAGGAACCACATAAGAAAAATAAAGGTTATCCTGTATGCTTCAATATATAAAGGCAAGCAACTAAAGTGGCTGACTGGAAAAAAGGAGAACAGCACATGTAGCAGGTAGTATGTTACAGGGACTGCAAATACAGTTTCGTAGCTTTACCTGGCACAAAATTTCCCCACCGAACATAGCCAAATCAATCTACAAAAAAAGAAAGTATAGCTCAATACTAGCTCCGGTTCCAGAATAGAAACTAAAAATAATTCAAGGTAAACCTTCCTGGGAGTTCCTAAACTTAACCACACACCGGGAGAATTCTTGCCAGTGAAGGTGCAGCAATTCCAACAAATCCATCGCTTGAACCAGTATTACGAATGACTACACTGGTAATAGTCTTGCCAAAAAGCCAATGCCACATTCCTACTTCATTCTCAGGCATAAAAATGTTCACCATTTCAACGGACCCGGACATGAAACACATGGCACCTGAAAACCACATTTATGCAAGTATCAAGCACCAAACTAGAAGACTTCACAAACATTTCAGTAACAACCACTCCTACGAAAAACTTACAAGCTCATGCCACACAAAAAGATGTATGCTTTACCACTCAACATCTCCAAATTATCCAAAACTCTAAAGGAACAGCCAAGCCAGTAAAATCAAGCATAACTTAACAACTATAACTGTCATGCAAGTTTAAGGATGAAATGCTATGCGGACATCCATGGAATAACTGATATCTGCATTCACAAGTAAGAGTGCTCATGAATACAACAATGACAATTACTATGCTGACCTGGTCGTATAATAACAAATTCTTGCGGTTTCAACATGATCTGACAACCAAGGAATAACAGAAAGAAATTAGATGAGCAAAACTAGAGAGATAGAAAGCCAATTGCCAGAGAGCTTGAAAACTACATGCATACCTGAACCACCTGTGCTTCGCCACCCAAAATCTGGAAAGGAATCATAGCAGCTTGTTGACTCTGCAAGCATATTATCAACTATGACATCATGCAACAGTAACGATAAACTCAAAACCCAAGTCTTACACACAATTATGCGAACCATTAATACTAAACCACATACCACTGCTGCTTATGGGCATTTTCACCTCACTCTTCCCTCTTCCTTCTTCCAATAAGACTAAACCACATACGAAACCCAGAAGTTCTCGTGACTGAAAATGCCCAAAAACAGCAGAGAATTGTGTTTTCCCTCTCCGTACGTTAGTAACCCTCCCTCTTTCTGAGCCTGACACTCAACTAATGCAAGTACACTACAACCACATTTGAAAAATCAAAGCAGAAAGCCAAGTTCCTTCGACCTATGCTGATCAAATTGAGCAACCAACACTCCTCCGCCAATGGCAGAGTGGTCAAATAGCAAACCACTAGAATCAAATTGGGCAGAAAGAAAGAAAGAAAGAAAAATCTGCACAATTGTGACACTACTCCACAACTAAAACTAACAAAAAATTGACAGGATAATTCTTCTATGGCCTGATTTCCTAAAGCTAAAAGGCAAAGTGAACTCCCTCAAAGAGGCGATTGCTAGCAGAGAACAAGAAAGGTACCTGATAGACATAAGGCTGAAACTGAGTAGAGAAGAAGGGAGCAGCCATGTCGGGAGAGTGGGGATAGAAGCACTGGAAGGACGGATCAGAAAAACCCTAACGAGAATCTCTCTGATTCGCTGTGGATTGTTTTAGCTCCAATTTTAAGCAGATCGACGATCCATATATTGTTTTTCATGTAAATGAATTTGGATGAAAGAAAACGATCTCTGCGACAAGAAGACTCTGATTGCGATTAGTTTATTTCCTTTTCGTTTTTACAATTTCTTTCATGGAAGGCGGAATACCCATAATAACCTCGTCATACAACAGGATTGGTCAAATTGGTTGGTGGCAGTTGAGTTGAATAATAGATCAATCCGGTTATAAGTTGTCCATAAACTATCCCTCGTCGAATAAATCCAATCAGGAATTCTGATGGATTTCAAGAAAAACCTAACTAACTACGAGGCAATTAGATGCAAGATCATCATAGCTTCAATTATGTAGGAGAAAAATTGATCACAGGCTTTTTGATCGATTTGATATATGTAGGATAATAAGAGACGATTTGTAATAAACTTTAAATGTCGTGTATCGAGTCATTTAAATTATATTTACGAAATCTAATTTATAAATAACTTAATAAGATCATTATTGATACTCCATAATGTAAACAAGTCGACATTAGGAAAATTGCTAATTAATCATAGAAATATTAATTGAATTGGACATAGTGGATTAGTAAAGTTGAGGATTAAGCCTTTTAGACAACTTTAGTTGCGCAGCAATTGACCGGTTTGGGTCACAGACTCTGACTTGCTCTAACCGAGTTTGAGCGGACAACCTGGCGCATTGTCCAGGGGCTATAATGTAAAATGCAACAGTGAACTGTGTTTTGCTTCAGTGCCTTGCCTTGTCAGCATTTTCCCAGCGTAAAAAATGTATTTTGTATCCACGTGTCAAAATATTTGTTGTTTGATTCTCCGGCTGGATTACACGCGGCAAATTGAATGACTTGGCGTATTCTTATTGGTTTCCGCATTATTCTCGACGTGTCGCTAGCGGCGCCAAAGCGGTAAAAAGCACACTAGTCCGCTGAGTTTAGGAAATCGGGAAAAAGGAAGTTACTTGTTGGATCGCCGCGGCGGCGTCGGAGAATCCCGGCGATCAGCAGAGAGCGACAGGAGCTACGCTCCCCGCTCGCCGAAATACGGCGGACGGAAAGAACAATGAGTCGACTGCGGGTCTATCGCGAATGCGACAACGGCGGTGGTCGATTCATGGGAGAAGGGTTAATAGAGAATTGGACTAGAGCTACGCTAAAGGGGGAAAATATGGCGGCGAGAATGATCGTCAGAGAGCGGGAAATGTCGGCGAGACGGCAGCGATTCCGAGAGTTATCGTTCCTTAAGTACGTATTGCTGCTATGCTCTATCTTTTTTGTTTCCGTTTGTAATTCTATTTCGTACAGATTGCGGCCGAGAACCAATTGAAGTTGCTATTCTTGTTCTGTGGACTCCTTATTCAAACTTAGGCTATTCGGGGTTTTGGCACTTTGGCAGATAGGCTCTCTACCGTTTGCAATCAAAATCTGTGTACGGAAATGTTTGCTTGCAGTGTGATAGACGTTGAACCAAATTGCTATAAGGATGGTGCCAGTAACCTCCATTTGTTTCAGCCCTTAAGCATACTCTTCACTAGTTGAGCTAGCTAGCTAACCCAGAGAAATGGTGCTGCTTCCAGGAAAACTAGAGGTGTTCTCCATAGAGATGGTTAGACCATACAGATTGGAGACGCAAGTCAACTGGCTGTCCCCATTCTTTGCTGGTGGCCAAAGCTTTGTAGAGTTATTGACTCCTTTCGACTAGGCTATCTGAGGTAAGCTAGCAAAATGGAGCCTTGTTTGTTTGATCAGGCAAAAAAGAATCAGATTGGAGTTTTGCGAATGTAGAATCAAGGGATTTTGTTTGCGGCAAGATGCTCCACTAGAGCATAATCTTTCACTAATCTAGCTACCTAAGCAAACACCATTATCTAGCTAGCTAAGTAAAACGCCATTGAAATGGTGCTGCTTACAGGAAAACCAGAGGTGATCTCCAGAGAGATGGTTAGGCCATCTACTGCAACCCCAGACTGCCACAGAATTCACAGCCTTTCCTTCTTCGATCAGTTGGCTCCTCCAATTTACGGCCCTCTTCTCTACTTCTACCTCGACCATGAAAGCCATCTCAATAGTGTTGCTGATATTGTCGACAATAAAATCCGTGCACTCAAAGTATCCCTCTCGGAAGCACTATCCACGTACTACCCACTAGCAGGAAGGATGGGAGATGATCCCTTAACAGTTCACTGTAACGACGAAGGGGTTGTCTTCCTGCAAGCACGGATGAACACGGAGCTGCCTGCAATATTAAACCATCCAGATGCAGGCCTTCGAGACGAGGCTCGGAAGCTCTTGTTCCCGGATGATCTTTGCTACAAAAGCACGAACCTGAGCAGTCCCTTGGTTGTTCAGGTCACTAGCTTTGAGTGTGGAGGGATGGCACTAGGCATCTGCGTGTCACATAAGATCCTAGACATGTCCAGCTTCTGTTCCTTCATCAACTATTGGGCCGCCACAGCTTCCACTTTGGGACACAACATCAAGCAGCCTGATCATCATCATCTGGAATTCACTTTAGCTACTTTGTATCTACCTGTTGAACTACCAGTTACAAAGACTGTCGAGCCTCCGAAGGTCAGAAACGTCGTTAACCAGTTTGTCTTTGATACTTCCAAGGTCGCGAAGCTCAAAGCTATTGTGGGGAGCAAAGTCGAGAATCCCACAAGGGTTGATTTGGTTTTAGCACTGCTTTGTTCTTGTGCTATATCAGCAGCGACGGCCTGCTCCTCATCCAAAGGTGGTGGTGCGTCCCAGCTGAGGTCGGCCCTTTTGATTCAAGCTGTGAACTTGCGCCGTAGATTAATGTCTCCACTCCCACCTGCTCGTTCCACAGTAAATCTGTCTTCAGTTTTTGCAATGTCAATTGCAGAAGGCATGAAGAAAGACCTGGTTCTGTTGGTCAGTATGATCAGGAGAGTGAAAACTGAGTATTTCAACTCCTGCGCTGCGGAATCTGTTGGGAACCAGTTTCGCTCTTTCATCATAAAGACAACGGAAGAGTTCAGGAAGGCAAGTACTGAAGAGGCTGCAAAGGTGTACCCGTGCTCCAGCTGGTGCGGATCCCCATATATGAAGCAGATTTCGGTTGGGGAAAACCAGTGTGGGTTACAGCTGCTGATTTTGCGCTGACAGATGCAATCATCTTGTTGGATACAAGAGACGGACTTGGGATCGAAGCAGTTGTGTCTCTGGAAGAACACGAAATGGCTGCTCTTGAGCGTGACCAAAAGCTCCTAGCCTTTGCTTGGATCAACCCGGTTGTTGGTCCAGTAATGATCCGGTACGTTTTTCTTTGTGTTATTGGCACTACTGAGGTGTTTTCATGAACAAATCAAACTTAGCTTAGCAACTGTTGCAATGCTGTACACATGTGCAGGTCCAAAGTGTAGAGTACCATGCTCATCTTGCAGACCCTAAGACCAGAAAACTTCACAATCGAGGTGACTAAACCATGACACTTAGCTTCAGATGAAGATTTAGCCACAACGGCTTGTTCTGGCCTTTCAAGTAACTGGCAAAGAAGGTCCTTGTTTGTGATGCTTCATCTTCTCTGAGTCTTTCTGGTGCAATGTCTGCTTGCACATTTGCACCTACTATCCCTTTCTTGTTGCATCTGTTTTTCCTCTCTTTTCTGCTGCACTCTGGTTTTGTTTCATGGGCTTTGCCACTTCTGTAAGTGTTTTCCACATTTCCATGAATAAATAATAAAAAAGTATTTAGTTGGGAATGGAGAACAGAAGGTTGCGAAGAGATCCTCACAAAAATGGTTTTGAGGACCATTGCCAAATAACAGGACTGATACTCCAAAGAGGAAAAAACAAAGTTTTTGAGCTTTATACTCGGATTGTTTTGTGCGGATATTGGTATCAGATAATTCGAATTGTCTAATAGTGATGTGTGAATATTTTGTATGAAATATTTGTAAGATGATTTTGATGCTGAACATTTGTTGTTCGAATAACCAAATTGTGTCATGAATATGTTAGCTCGGGAAAAAATATTTCTGAAATATAGTAACAGTGACTTTACAGATTGGAGACAACAAATAACCTGGCTGTCGTCTGGCTGTCTGAGGTGAGCAAGCAAAGCTGAATTCGTTTGGACTTTTGCAAATTGGGAAGCAAGGTATTCTTATTTGCAGCAAGTTGTATTTATTATAATTCATTTTGCTATGTACAAAGTCAACAAACTGCTCTATTTGTTTCTTCCTTGATCATAATCCTTCACTAATACGGCCAGCTAAGGAAACGCCAGAGGAATGGTGCTGCTTCCAGGAAAACCAGAGGTGTTCTCCACAGAGATGGTTAGACCATCTATTCCAACACCAGACAGCCACAGAATTCACAGGCTTTCCTTCTTCGACCAGTTTTCTCCACCACTTTACGTCCCTCTTCTCTACTTCTACCTCAACCATCACCATCAACCGAATCATGTAGATACTTCCCTTGCTGATCTCGTTGACGACAGAACCCGTGTGCTCAAACGATCCCTCTCAGAAGCACTGTCCACATACTACCCTCTAGCTGGGAGAATGGGAGATGATGAAGATGATCCATTAACGTTTCACTGTAACGATGAAGGGGTCGTCTTCCTTCAAGCACGGATGAACTCGAAGCTGTCTACAGTTTTAAGCCATCCAGATGGGGACCAACGCGACGAGGCTCTGAATCTCTTGTTCCCGGATGGTTTTTCCGACAAATTCACCAGCTTGAGCAGTCCCTTGCTGGTTCAGGTACGTCTAGTTAAAACCCCGAATCAACTCTGACTATGTAATTTTTTTTTAACCAGTCATGGTAGTAGATATCGAATATAGCTCTACGATCCTCGTATTACTTTCTACGGAGTTGAATGAATTCTATTCTAATATAGTTTCAGTACGACATTGGTTCAGGTTACTAGCTTTGAATGCGGAGGGATGGCACTGTCCATCTGTGCATCTCACAAGATCCTCGACATGGCAAGCTTCTCTGCTTTCGTCAACTACTGGGCTTCCACTGCTTCTTCCACCTCGTCACCCAGCAGCACCAAAAACCACCCGGACTTCAACTTGGCTACTCTCTTCCCACC